ATATATAGGTAAATTAATTAATTTTTTATTTTTATTTTTATTTTAAAGTATCTTTATATTTATTTAATTCACCAAAAGATACATGAGCTTGAGTTTCTACTTTTAATTTTATATTGAAATATGCGAGCTAGGTTTAATCACTTACAATAACGAGCCTGTTGATTTACAACTAATTTCTAACCAACTTCAATAACAAAATCTGAGCAAATACAGTTTATCTAGCTATCAATTTGATATTCCTCCTTACACCTTAGAATCTAATTCTCAATTAAACGCTAGTGTAATTTTTGATTTCTCATTCATTTTATCTATTCTATTATTATAGATTTCCTATATTAAAAATTAAACCTTATTTAATTTTCTTAATTAGTAAAATTATATTATTTTTTAATTTTTAATAAAAAGTTGGTTGTAAATTTGAGTTCAAACAAAAATGTAGTTGCTATTAAGAAGATATCTGTTGATATTTTGATTACAGATTTGTATTTGTAGGTTATCGGAGGCTCTAGTTTAGTTATAGGTTATTAAAGTAAACTTACCTTAAATACCAACTCTAGAGACTTTGAAATTTAGGATTCTAAATCCCCTTAAAACATCAACTTTAGTTGGGAATGCTCTGGTTTATCATCTAATGACCATATTTGCTATGACTACAAGAATAATATTCTTTAATTACAACAAGGATAAAGTAGTATTTCTTTTCCTGCAAAAACATTTTAGCCATACACATCTATTATATTAAATGTTATCGGATAAAAAGACTCTAGAAAATCTAATTATAGAACAATATGCTTATTTACTGAGCTAAATATCCCCTAGCTAGAAGTATAGTTTTCTGCTACTCGTTAAAATTAAAAAATTAATTTGAATGAGGATTTGAATTTTGTTATTAATTATGATAAGAATATCCCCTCAGATATTTTATCTTATGCTGGAGCTTTGCTATATGACAATGATGTTGTTGGTGTTATTAAATTTGACTATTACTAAGTTAAATTTAGAATATGGAACTATTTCAAAAACGTAGATCCCCTAAAACCTATTATTTAAGCACGCTTTTCTGTCTATAACCCTTCTTTTGTTATGCCAAGCTTAACGACTATCAATTTGAATATCAATTTCCCTCCTCATAATTGTACTTTGGTAATTAGCCCACTACAAGGAGTAGCACTTTAAACGATGTTCTCAATTTAATTTTTGTATTGCTTAGATGAAGATCTTCCTTTGACTTACTAATTCTTTTATTATAATAGCATGGATGATGCTAAATAAGAATTAATCTAGCCATGGAATATTTTAAGAAGATAAATATAAGATCAGTCAACTGTAAATTCAATTCAAACTGTATTACCTTAAGGGAATCTTGTAATAATGAGTTAGGTCATAGATTCACAACTCGGCGTTTACAATTAAACCTAGATGATTAGTGTTTCAAATTTAAATTTACCAACGAAAGATTATTATCAATAAGTAAATTAACTTACTTAGCAAACTCTATCTAGCACAAACTTATAAGCTACAAGCTAATTAATTACTTTAAGTTTAATCGGAGAAGACATTAGTAAAAATACATAGTCTTCATAAGATTTAAATAATTTATGCTCTCTATTAATAACAAATCTTCAGTAATTATCTCTTTAAATACCTAAATTTTCTTTGATATCAACATATGCTAATAAAGTAACTGCTAAACTATCAGGGTTACTTTTCAATTCATAATAATCAATATAGACTATCGATAAAAATTAAATAATTTAAAAACTACAGTCATTAATTTAAAATACAGATTCAAGCATTTAAAACAATGATCTGAGCTATTTATAGCAAAACAATGATTTTCCAATTCAAAATATTATCGATTCTTTCAAAATATTAAATTCATGTGTTTCAATGAATTCATAGAATACATAATAAAATTTATAGGACTATGACCAAATTACTACCAAGATAGGAAGTATGTTCTCTAATATGAATCTACCTAATTAAGGGTCTTTAATTCTAAATGGTAATCTATCAACTCTATTAATAGACAAAATAACTTAAAAAAACATATACTAATACGTTACTACTTTTAATGAACCAGATTTAAATAATATTTTTAGTATATCAAGAAACAATTATGAATTAAATATTTATGAAAATACTCCAGAATTTTAAGGATATATTTAGCAAATGAAAAATATTAGCTCAAATTACACATACTCAAAGAACAAGTTGATTTAAACCTAAATTACTAACTTGGATACTAAAAATCTCATAGATCATTCTACAATAATTTATAATTTTAATAATGCTGTAACTAGCTAGAAATACAACATGACTTGCGTATAATAGAATGATAAATATTGGAGTAAAAAAAATTGTGTTCTACTAAAAAATAATTAAAATGAATCAGCGTGCTATTGTAAAACGTAGAAACCAACAACTATCATTGAGGATATTGATGACATGTTTTTAAAAAATAAAAATTTGAATACTGCATTTGGAGAGTAAGGATTCAAAAACATAGAAAATTTTAAAGAGTTTTATAATTACATAGTATTCTGGTTTATATTTGCTTTTACCTTGGCTTAAATTATTTTATTCATAGTAGGAAAAAGACTAGATAGAATTACTCTCCAGAAAAATTTTTAAAGAGTGCACCACCATTTAGAATAAATTTTAAGTCCAAAAATTGAGCTATAGCAAGAAAATTAGAAAGATAATTCAAATCTTAAAGAAACTTCTATCGCAATGTGTCAAGATTAAGTTATCAAAAATAACTCTCCTAATTAAAACAAAATTTAAAGTACAGAAAATATTGAAAATAAATGTTAAATCAAAATTTAAAGTACAGAAAATATTGAATAAAAATTTTAAAACAATTAACATTTTCCATTAATTTCTGATGAATTATCTGCTAAAATGAATGGTCCAATTCCTTTTAAAAGAAAAAGGAAAATGTTCGTAAACTTTTAAAAGCCTCAAAGTCATGTAAGTTTTAACTAAATTAGTTAACATGAAATTGATTTAAATCAAATAAATAAGAAATAAAATGATTAAAATGTTATTAGTGAAGAAAAAAGTATTGCAAATAGTATTGAAAAAAACAAAACTCAATAAGGATCTTAAGGTTGCATTTAAGAAAATTAAAAAATTCAAGAATAGAAATAAATATAGATCTACTAATAGCTCTCGATATATAAAAAGTTAGCAATATTTCATTAATTTTTTAGCATTTTTTATCTCTCACTAAGTGATATTTCAAGACCAATAAGATTCACTCTTTTTTACATTAAAAATATCCACACTCTAACTATTTCTATATTGTTCTATGGTTATATGATGTTAGATTAACAGATAGTAATTGCTTTGATTAACAGCATAGTATTAAAAGTAACCTCTACCCTAATTGCATATACTTTTAAAAAAGGTATAATAGGAAAATCCATTTCTATGGGTTCATAATTAATAATATCTTTGGTTTATTTTTACTTAATATTATCAGTGTCCAGTGGTAAAAAACCAAGTGAATCAAATGAGTTTTTATTCTTATTTTTGGTATCACTTTCTATGGAATTGGTTCTTATTGAATTAATTATTTCATTAACTATGATTTTTTTGATTAAAAAACACATTTAATCAAATGATGATAAATGCTTATATAGCAAGTTATTTAATCTTTTAAAATTATAGGAAACTATTTAAAGTATTGATGTATGAACTTTATTTATTTTTATGTTTTGTGATATTCTTTCTTGAATAGTCATCAAATTTAATAAAATAATCTTGAGTTTTAAAATGTTTTTAATAATTATAAATTCTTTTCCTCTCTAAAATTTCAATTAAATATTTACAAATTTGGTTCAAAACTTGTGGATTAAGATCAAAATTTTATTTTTTATAATTTTAATATTTATTTTATAATTATAAATTTATAATGTACCTTGTCTCTTCTTCTGTCTCTTAGGATTTATGAATAACTTTTATTAAAAAATAGAATAAACACTTAAAGTGTATATTATTTTTATAAGTAAGGTCCCATTATATACCAAAAAAAATGAAGGATTAATCAATTAAGAATTAAAATAAAGAAATTAAAATAGAATTAAAGGTTATGAAATAAAACTTGTTAATTTATATAATTAAATTTTAAAATTTATTCATCCTTTTTTCACCATTTATTTATTATTTTAAAGACAACCAATCTTTTTGGTTTAAGATACTTACTCTTTACTTTCAATTATTCAAACTCACTGATTTTGTTTTGACTTTTAACATAAATTAATTAAAATAATTAATATCAAAATTAACAAAATAAAATGTCTAAATTTAAATAATACTTTAAATAAGCAAATAAAATAATAAAACTAGAATAAAATCGTAAATCAAATTAAAAGCTAATATTGTAATCCAAATTAATAAATTAATTTTACTAGATTCTAAGTGCTAAATTTGTAAGATTAATGCACTTTAGTAAAGCAGTACATAAGCCTAGGTAACCTTCATCGTCAATTTAATTAAACCTTATTACATATTGAAGAAAAACTAAATATATCTAATGAGTTAGTTAGAAGGAAAAAATCAAGAAAAATATGAAATAGTAAGAAATTCATTAAATATAAAAGCAAAAGTTGAAAATTAAAAAATTATTATATTAATAAAGAAAAAAAATAAATATTAATAAAATAAAATATAAAAAGCTAAAAAAAAAATAAATAAATTAAAATAGCTTAATTGCTTAAATTAGTGTTTATATTAAAAAATATTAAAATTAAAAACAAGTAAAATGCTTTTACCCAAAATTGAGTACCAAATTTGAGAGATTAGAATAATTAACTAAAACAGTACTTATGATTAATATATCAACAGAACCAATTTTATTGTTTCTTTTAAATATTTAAAAATACAAATAATAAATTAGGTAAAATTAAGGGAATATGAAATTATAAGAAATGATTTAATTAATCGTCAAAAAAAGTTGAAAATAAAAAAATGAGTTAAATTAACAAAGGAATAAAAAATGCAAACATAATAAAAAAAAATTACACAAATAAAAATTTATATCAAAAAAATATTTTGTTTAAAAAATTAAATTACTCTATTTAATTTTACAATAATCTGAAAACAATATTTTTTACCAATTTTATTTTCAAAGTTTTGTTTATTAAGCGAATTCTAATCTTAAGTTTATTTATTAATAGTGCAAATGGATAATTTGAGGTAATAGGTAGCATTTTATTTGAGAATTGATTGAGTTGTTACTCTTGATCCTTTTTTAGGATTAATTTCTTTTTATTCTTAATATCATTTAAATAAATTCCTACATTTTCTATAACTATTTCGACCATTTCTTGTTGTTCTTTTCCTTATAAATCACTGCAGTACTTAATTCAACTGCCCACCCAAACTTATTTAATTTAAAATAATCTTAAAGTAAAAAATATTTTTTAAATTGGTGTTAACAAATTATAATATGATTAAAATGCTTATTTAGTGGTTTAAGCAAAAAAAAATAATTTTTGTTTGCTTAATAATTACTTAATGTTAAAAATATTTTTTTAAATAATTTTAGATAATAACAAACAGTAAATCTTTTAGACGAGAAGCTAATTAATTACACATATTTATTTTGTAATATAAATATCTAAAATTTAAAAGTAAAAATAGTATTTATTTATGAACATGGTACTTAAATCTTGAGGTAAAATTTACAAATTAACAACTAAAAAATTTAAATCTATATTATTGTAAATATAATTTAAACTAAATTTTAAACAATTTATAAAATTTGAAGCATCATTAATTTAAAATATTTTAGTAATATTATTTACTGAAATATAAATCCGCCTTTGATCTTTTGAAATTTATTTGCAAAATTTTTTTAAAATAATATTCAAATAAATTTATCATTTATTTTGTATTTGAGATTTGTTATTTAGTTCAATGAAAATAAATAGATTTTCAAAATATATTTTTGGGTGAATATTAAACACAAATATTTAATTTTATTATAATAATACGAAGTAAGTGTAAAATAAAAATCTTAAAGACTCTATACCTTCTAAAATATTAAAATTTAGAACATAAACAATTTTTATTCTTTATCTAACTTTATTAATCATTACAATTTTTTATCAATACTAATTATAATTTCAGTTTTTAATTATAAATAATAATGATAAAAGCTAAATATTTAATGATAATTTTTTATTTAAAATAATAATTTTAAGGTTTAAAAACCTGAATGAGTACAAAAGATAAGTAAAGATGATGAAACTAATACATAGAATCATTCTAGATTACATTTTTTTATATTCATTTAATGAATGTTTTGAAAATTGAATTATTAAAGTAATGTAATTAAAAAATAGTTACTATTGTGAAAATAGTACTCAAATTATGAGCGTAAATTTAGAAAAAATAATTTAATGTAAAAATAATTTAAACATAATTTTAAACACTTTTTAAAATTAAAATCATTAATTTTAAAATATTTTCATAATTTTGCTTATTGGAATGTATTTAGACTATGATATTTGAATTTTTCCAAAATTAATTCATAGAAAAATTAAATTTAACTATTTGTTTGATACTAATTAAGTTGAAAGAAAATAAATCAATTTTCTAAGTATATTTTAAGGTAAATATTTTTTGAAATATTTATTGATGATTTTTTATTTAACCCTTCAAAAATGGGGCATATAACTCTTAAGTTTCAATAGCTTAATTAAAAATTTAAGTGCTAAATTTTGGAACTCTATTATAAATATTGCATACCTCGATATTGAAAACTCCCCCACTCTAAAGAGTTAAAATAATAAATAAATTTAAATTTTATAAACCTGAATGAGTACCTAAGATTAATATAAATGACGAAACTATGACATTTAATCATTCTTAATAGCATATATTTTTATCTAATTAATGAATGCGTTGAAAATTTAATTATTCAAGTAACGCAAGAAAAAATAGTATCTATGATGAAAGTATTTAAATCTTGAGACTAAATTTACAATGAAGCTAAAAATTTTAAATTTATATTTAATACAAATAGTTACTTTAAAATATTTTCATTTTTTTTTATTTACTGAAATGTTTATATTTATGATCATTTTAAATTACAAAAATTCATAGAAAAATAAAATTCAATTCAATCTATAACTTTATTTTTTTTATAAATATTAAGTTGAAAGAAAATAAACAATTATTTTTCAAAGTATATTTTAAGGTTAATATAATATTAATTTTTAATTTTATTATTAAGATATTAATTAAGTGCTAAATAGAAAGCATTAAATCTTAAATCGTTGGGAAATGATTAAATTTAAAAGATTAGTAATTTCTCTGCATTAGTGGGCTATTGCAATCTTTAAACTTTAGTTATCTCTACTAACTAATAAAATAGAACATTTATGTTATTATAATTATAAATAATAATTATAATGTAATTAATCTTTCCTGATTACATTTATTTATGTATCTAATGGTGATTATCTTGTAAATTGAATTATTAAATTCATGGTTTTGATATTGTAAATTTAAATAAGTAAGTAAATTTGCCAAATTTTTTTATTTAAAGGCAAAAATACATGCATTAAAAATTTATTTTATATTTTAAATTGCTGTTTTAATTATTGGCTCATTATGTATGTAAGAATATATAGGGAAAAATGAGGTATGGGACAACATTTTTAAGACCAAATATTATAAAACTTTTTCAATGTTTCTCAAATCATTTGTTAAAATTAGCTAGAAAAATATTAATAGGGTCATGTACTAATAATCTAGTATATGGTAATTATCTAATTACAGTTTAATAAAAGTAGAAAGAGTATGTAGTTTCTCTTTATTTTTTTTGTAAGCTTAATTTAGTTAATCAAAAAATAAAAGAAATAAAAGAATAAAAATATTGTTTAATTACTTCCTTTATGATTTTTACATTCTCATTCATGTGTGAGTTTTATACTTGAAAAAAAAAATTTTTTTAAATAATAACAATAAATGCTTATTATTTAAGATTATATTCATCTCAGCTTAGAGCATTTATCTTAGAAATTTTAATAAAATAAAAATATTTAGGGTATAATAGTTAAGATAGAGCAAGAACTAATTGCACTAAAAAAGTATTAATCATTAACGAAAACAAATTTAAGAATAGTAATCATGTAGAATATTAAAAAACACTCTTAAATTACAATATAAGTTAGGTAAGAGTAAAAACAATAATCTAAATCTTTTCAAACCATAAATACTAATTGAAAAATGATTCAATTAGTAATAAATAATTTTCTTTAAGATTAATTTAATTCTTAAAAAATCAATTAAAAGCCATTAATATAAAGAATTAATCAAAGCAAAATTGGATAATAATTAACTTAACTTTTATTACATCTACCAATCTATTACTTTTTTAAATTATTTTGATAATTTATGATGATAAGTAATAATAGTAGAAGATACAACTATACAAATAATATCTTTCTATTCTAATTTTAGGCAGTGATTAATGTCTCAAAATTTATTCTAAGTAAATATATATAAACTGAAGATAATTTCTTATTTTAAAAAGACCAATAATTTACAATTTTAATGACAGTTCTAATCCTTTTTTTACCTCTTTCAAAAGATATTTATTTACCGTAAATTTCAATAGTGACTAATTTTAAATTTCTTATTGAATTTCAAAGCAAAAATTTTTTGATTTTAGATAAAATATCACCTCGGTGCTTCCTCTTGGCTCAAAAATGAGGAATTATGGTAATACTTAAAGAATATAATAATTACTTGTGATAGTTTCTGGAAGTTAAATGAATAATATAGAATAAAAAAATTTTGTTTCGAATTAATAATAAAATAGTAAGGAATTATTAGTTTGATTCTTACTGGTTGTATTATTAGATAAGCATAATTTAAATAAATTAAATATATAAATAGCTATCTTTATGAGTTTAATTTTATAATTGAAATTAATTAAAAAAATAATAATAATAAAAAATAAAAAAAGTAAATTAATAAAAATGAAAGTTAATACAATAAAGATTTTATTCTTCTCAGTTTTAAATAGTAAATAAAATTTCTTTACATAACATAAATAAAAGATATTAATTTTAAAACCAAAGTCTTAATAAAATTCGCAAGTTCATATGCTGATTATTACTCTAACTGTACACAAGTTATGATGAATCTTGGTTTAAATCCAAAATGTATCAAAATATAAAGTATCTTTTTATTAAATATTTAATAATAAAAAATAGACAGTGAATGCGTAATAAATAAATTAGGTGTTGAAAACGAATCTGATTTATTATAGTATAAAATGTATTTAAAGTCTGATAATTGCTTAAATATAGTTTCAAATCGATACGAAGTTTTTAATTATTTATCAGGAGATGGTTGTTTCTCAAATATTCCTTATAGTTTTACTTATAGCAGAAAAAGCTCGTAAAATTATTATTTTTAAAATAAAAATCTTTTTATTAATATAAATATTGATTTTATTAATTATTATTTCAATTATAAAAAAGGTTTTAAAAAATTAATAAATTTTATTTGGAAATATTTGGCTTAGTTAGTACTAAAGAAACATCTTCTTTAATGAAAATAAGTTTAAATGGAGTTGAAATAACTAGATAACTTTATGGTTGTTGGGGTGCTTAATGTTATTTTTTCAACACTAAAAAAGATACATTAATAAACTCATATGATTTAAATGTAATTCTAACTCCATTGAATTCAGACACTGAAAAATATTAATAGTATATTAGAGGAAATTTTCTTATTGTTTAACTTGTAAATTATTTCAATACTTAATTTGAAAAAAAATATATTTATAAATTTATTATAATTTGCTAATTTGACTTTTATTTCAAATTTTTTTAATTTTTATCTATTTTATATCCTCTTTAAAAGTGCTCGCCTTATTGTGATGAATGTGATTAGGACAGCGTATGCTCAAAATGTATTGAAAAATATTATCTTGACTCTTCTGGAAGCTGTTAGCCTTGCGATTAAACTTGCTTAAACTGCTCTGGACCTTCAAAAGAAAATTGCTTATCTTGCATTTCAGGGTTGTTTTTTTAGCAGAAATCAAGTTCATGTGTCTAAAATTGTGATTAAAATTAATATCCTGATTCTTAAAATGTATGTTAATTATGCGATCAATCATGTGCAATTTGCTAAGGAGCTGGACCAAACAATTGCTTATCTTGTTAATTAGGTTTATACTTATAACCTATTACACATTCATGCTAATTATGTGATCAAACTTGTAGCAGTTGTGATGGAGCAGGACCAAATAGTTGCATGTCCTGTATACCTGGATTATATTATTAGCCAAATAAAAAATAATGTGTTTAGAATTGTGATTTAAATTAATTTATTAATTCTTTAAATCAGTGTTAACCCTGTGATTTATCTTGCGCAAGTTGTGATGGGTCTTCTTCTAAAAGCTGTTTATCATGCCCTTAAAATAGCTTTTTGTTTAATAAGATGTGTGTAGGTATTTGTCCAAATGGATTTTAATCAAATCTCATTTCACTTACTTGCGATTAATGTTAAAATTATATGGATCCTAAATGCAATTCTTGCTATCCTAGTTGCTAGTTATGCAAATCCATATAGGCTAAAGACTCTTAATGCGATAGCTGCTACTCAGAAACAAGATAATTAGATTCAGATAATAATTGCACTTGCTTAAATCCAAAAGATTAAAGAAATAATTTTTATTAATGTAGCTATCAAAATATTGCTGTACTTGACATTCAATTAAGCGCAACAAAACCACTGCTAATTATAGATTTCGGTTCACCTTTAAAAGGTATATCAGTAGATACGTCTTTACCTATATGTTAATAAATATTTGATCAGCCAACTTTGATTTTACTTGGTTCAGATTCGTTGTGCCAAATAACTGGAAATCAAGTTTAAGTAAATTTAGGTAATTTTTTCAGATTTAGACAAGATTTGTATAAAAAATTTCTTACTTAATTATTTAATAAAATCTTTTTTTAAATAAAATTTGTTAATTTTTGTTCTTTATTCATTTAAATTTTATAATAAAAATTTTTTAAAGAATCTTGTTTGTGGCCCCTTTATTAAAAAATCCCAATCTTATTTAAGATAAAACCCCATTTTTCGATAATTTAACTTACTAAAATGGGGTCTTAAAAAAGAGAGTTTACATTATTTTATTTAATTATTGAAGAATATCCAAAGATAAAATATTTTTTTTTAACAAAAAAGGTGATTCTTCAGTTATAATGGCAAATAATATTGTTAATTTTTTACCTAATAAACTCTAATTTGAAGACTATAATACGTATTTTATAAATACTTTCTATAGAAATATTGTTTTCTAGAATGATCCTGGGATTCCTTTGCTTAATTTTAATTACAACCCTAATGAAAACAGCTGCAACCCTTTAAGTATAGCTCTTTAAAATATACAAAATGATGCAGGTAGAAAATTTTTAAATATAAATTGGACTTTAGTGTAAGTTATAGGAACAATGAGTGACTAATAGAAATAAATTATAAAAAAAATACTGTAACAAGCAAGCTAAGATATGGCCACAAGTATAAATATTGATCCCAAATATATCCCTTCAAATTAAAATATTGCAATACAATTTAATTATCAGCTTAAAGTTAATAAAGCAGGCTCTTAACTATTTACAATAAATTACTTATAATAAAAATATATTAGAATCAACTTTTAGTAATCAGTATATCCTCCTATATATAGGTAAATTAATTACTTTTTTATTTTTATTTTAAAATATCTTTATATTTACTTAATTCACCAAAAGATACATGAGTTTGAGTTTCTACTTTTAATTTTATATTGAAATATGCGAGCTAGGTTTAATCACTTACAATAACGAGCCCGTTGATTTACAACTAATTTCTAACCAATTTCAATAACAAAATCTGAGCTAATATAGTTAATCTAGCTATCAATTTGATATTTCTCCTTACTCCTTAGAATCTAATTCTCAATTAAAAGCTAGTGTAATTTTTGATTTCTCATTCATTTTATCTATTCTATTATAATAGATTTCCTTAATTAAAAATTAATCCTTTTTTAATTTTATGTAAAATTATATTATTTTTTCATTTTTAATAAAAAGTTGGTTGTAAATTTGAGTTCAAACAAAAATGTGGTTGCTATTAAGAAGATATCAGTTGATATTTTGATTACAGATTTGTATTTGTAGGTTATTGGAGGCTCTAGTTTAGTTATAGGTTATTAAAGTAAACTTACCTTAAATACCAACTCTAGAGACTTTGAAATTTAAGATTCTAAATCGCCTTAAAACATCAACTTTAGCTGGGAATGCTCTGGTTTATCATCTAATGACCATATTTGCTATGACTACAAGAATAATATTCTTTAATTACAACAAGGATAAAGTAGTATTTCTTTTCCTGCAAAAACATTTTAGCCATACACATCTATTATATTGAATGTTATCGGATAAAAAGACTCTAGAAAATCTAATTATAGAACAATATGCTTATTTACTGAGCTAAATATCCCCTAGCTTGAAGTATAGTTTTCTGCTACTCGTTAAAATTAAAAAATTAATTTGAATGAGGATTTGAATTTTGTTATTAACTATGATAAGAATATCCCCTCAGATATTTTAACTTATGCTGGAGCTTTGCTATATGACAATGATGTTGTTGGTGTTATTAAATTTGACTATTACTAAGTTAAATTTAGAATATGGAACTATTTCAAAAACGTAGATCCCCTAAAACCTATTATTTAAGCACGCTTTTCTGTCTATAACCCTTCTTTTGTTATGCCAAGCTTAACGACTATCAATTTGAATATCAATTTCCCTCCTCATAATTGTACTTTGGTAATTAGCCCACTACAAGGAGTAGCACTTTAAACGATGTTCTCAATTTAATTTTTGTATTGCTTAGATGAAGATCTTCCTTTGACTTACTAATTCTTTTATTATAATAGCATGGATGATGCTAAATAAGAATTAATCTAGCCATGGAATATTTTAAGAAGATAAATATAAGATCAGTCAACTGTAAATTCAATTCAAACTGTATTACCTTAAGGGAATCTTGTAATAATGAGTTAGGTCATAGATTCACAACTCGGCGTTTACAATTAAACCTAGATGATTAGTGTTTCAAATTTAAATTTACCAACGAAAGATTATTATCAATAAGTAAATTAACTTACTTAGCAAACTCTATCTAGCACAAACTTATAAGCTACAAGCTAATTAATTACTTTAAGTTTAATCGGAGAAGACATTAGTAAAAATACATAGTCTTCATAAGATTTAAATAATTTATGCTCTCTATTAATAACAAATCTTCAGTAATTATCTCTTTAAATACCTAAATTTTCTTTGATATCAACATATGCTAATAAAGTAACTGCTAAACTATCAGGGTTACTTTTCAATTCATAATAATCAATATAGACTATCGATAAAAATTAAATAATTTAAAAACTACAATTATTAATTTAAAATACAGATTCAAGCATTTAAAACAATGATCTGAGCCATTTATAGCAAAACAATGATTTTCCAATTCAAAATATGATCGATTCTTTCAAAATATTAAATTCATGTGTTACAATGAATTCATAGAATACATAATAAAATTTATAGGACTATGACCAAATCACTACCAAGATAGGAAGTGTGTTCTCTAATATGAATCTACCTAATTAAGGGTCTTTAATTCTAAATGGTAATCTATCAACTCTATTAATAGACAAAATAACTTAAAAAAACATATACTAATACGTTACTACTTTTAATGAACCAGATTTAAATAATATTTTTAGTATATCTAGAAACAACTATGAATTAAATATTTATGAAAATACTCCATAATTTTAAGCATATATTTAGCAAATGAAAAATATTAGCTCAAATTACACATACTCAAAGAACAAGTTGATATAAACCTAAATTACTAACTTGGATACTAAAAATCTCATAGATCATTCAACAATAATTTATAATTTTAATAATGCTGTAACTAGCATGAAATACAACATGGCTTGCGTATAATAGAATGATAAATATTGGAGTAAATAAAATTGTATTCTACACAAAAATAATTAAAATGAATCAGTGTGCTATTGTAATACATAGAAACCAACAACTATCATTGAGGATATTGATGACATGTTTTTAAAAAATGAAAATTTGAATACTGCATTAGGAGAGTAAGGATTCAAAAACATAGAAAATTTTAAAGAGTTTTATAATTACATAGTATTCTGGTTTATATTTGCTTTTACCTTGGCTTAAATTATTTTATTCCTAGTAGGAAAAAGACTAGATAGAATTACTCTCCAGAAAAATTTTTAAAGAGTGCACAACCATTCAGAATAAATTATCACTCCAAAAATTGAGCAATAGCAAGTAAATTAGAAAGAAAATTTAAATCTTAAAGAACCATCTATTGCAATATATTAAGATTAAGTTATCAATAATAACTCTCCTAATTAAAACAAAATTTAAAGTACAGGCAATATTGAATTTTAATGTTAAAACAAAATTTAAAGTACAGAAAATATTGAATAAAAATTTTAAAACAATTAACATTTTCCATTAATTTCTGATGAATTATCTGCTAAAAGGAATGATCCAATTCCTTTTAAAAGAAAAAGAAAAACGTTCCTAAACTTTTATTAACATCAAAGTCATGTAAGTTTTAACTAAATTAGTTAACATGAAATTGATTTAAATCAAGTAAATAAGAAATAAAATGATTAAAATGTTATTAGTGAAGAAAAAAGTATTGCAAATAGTACTGAAAAAAATAAAACTCAATAAGGATCTTAAGCTTGCATTTAAGAAAATTAAAAAATTCAAGAATAGAAATAAATATAGATCTACTAATAGCTCTCGATATATAAAAAATTAGCAATATTTCATTAATTTTTTAGCATTTTTTATCTCTCACTAAATGATATTTCAAGACCAATAAGATTCACTCTTTTTTATATTAAAACTATCCACACTCTAACTATTTCTATATTGTTCTATGGTTATATGATGTTAGATTAACAGATAATAATTGCTTTGATTAACAGCATAGTATTAAAAGTAACCTCCTCCCTAATTGCATACACTTTTAAAAAAGGTTTAATAGGAAAATTTATTTCTATGGGTTCCTAATTAATAATATCTTTGGTTTATTTTTACTTAATATTATCAGTGTCCAGTGGTAAAACTTCGAGCGATTCAAATGAGTTTTTATTATTATTTTTGATATCACTTTTTATAGAATTGGTTATTATTGAACTAATTATTTCATTAACTATGATTTTTTTTGTTAAAAAACACATCTTATCAAATAATGATAAATGCTTATATAGCAAACTATTTAACCTTTTAAAAATATAGGAAACTATTTAAAGTATTGATGTATGAATTTTTTTTATTTATTTATTTTTTTATGTTTTGTTATCTTCTTTCTTGAATAGTCATCAAATTTAATAAAATAATCTTGAGTTTGAAAATGTTTTTAATAATTATAAATTCTTTTACTCACTAAAATTTAAATCAAATATTTACAAATTTGGTTCAAAACTTAAAACTTTTGGATTAAGATCAAAATTTTATTTTTACAAATTTAATATTTATTTTATAATTATAAATTTATAATGTACCATGTTTCTTCTGTTTCTTAGGTTATGAATAATTTTAATTAAAAAATGGAAAAAAAATTTAAAGTTTATATGATTTGTTTGAGTAAGAGTTCACTTTATATACCAAAAAAATGAAGGATTAATCAATTAAAAATTTAGATAAAAAAATTAAAATAGAATTAAACGTTATGAAATAAAAAATGTTATATTAAATTATTAAATTTTAAAATTTATTCATCCTTTTTTCACCATTTATTTATTATTTTAAAGATAACCAATCTTTTTGATTTAAGACATTTACCCTTTACTTTCAATTGTTCAAACTCACTGATTTTGTTTTGACTTTTAACATAAATTAATTAAAATTATTAATATCAAAATTAACAAAATAAAATGTCTAAATTTAAATAATATTTTAAATAAGCAAAAGAAATAATAAAACTAGAATAATATCATAAATAAAATTAAAAGCTAATACTGTAATCTAAAGCAAATAAATTAATTTTACTAGAGTTTAATTGTTAAATTTGAAAGATTAATGCATATTAGTAAAGTAGAACATAAGCCTAGGTAACCTTCAACATCAATTTAATTAAACCTTATTAAATATTGAAGTAAAAATATATTTTAATTAGTTAGTTAGAAGGAAAAAATCAAGATGAAATAGTAAGAAATTAATTAATAATAAAAGCAAAAGTTGAAAATTATAAAATTATTGAATTAATATAGAAGTTAATAAAATAAATAGCTAAAAAATAAATAAATAAATTATAATAGTTTAATTGTTTTAAATTAATCTTTATATTAAAAAATAATAAAATTAAAAACATAGAAAATGATTTTACCCAAAATTAAGTGTCAAATTTGAGAGATTAGAGCAATTAACTAAAGCAGAACCTAAGTATAATATACCAATAGAACTAATTTTATTGTTTCTTTAAAATATTGAAGAATATAAATAATAAATTAGGTAGTTTCAGGAAAATTAAGAATATATGAAATTATAAGAAATGAATAAAAGTTGAAAATAAAAAAAAATGAGTCAAAATTAAGAAAGAAATAAAAAATGCAAGCATAACAAAAAAAATTAAATTTAAATTAGTTTATTGTTTTAAATTCATTTTTTTAATAAATATCAAAATCCAAAAAAATAAACAGTTTTTACTCAAGATTAAGTGCCAAACCTGAGATATTAGTGTACTTTCCTAAAGCAGAACCTAAGCCTGATGCACCTATTGAACCAATTAGATTTCGCCTTTTTAAATATTGAAGCAAATTAAAATAAATAATTCTTTAGTAAAAAGGAAAAAATTAAGAAAAGATTTCTAATAATAATAAATAATAATCAATAAATTAATAATCAAAATAAAAGTTAGATATGACAAAAAAATAAATGAGTTAAATTAAGTATAAAAGAAAAAATAATTAAAATAAAAAAAAAATATTTTTATCTAGTAAAAAGTTATAAATAAATTTTAAAAATTTTATTATTTTTAATTTATTTTTTATTTAAAAATAGCGCAATCCAAAACAAACAAATAAATTGTTATTACTAGAGATTAAGATCTAAATTTTAGAGATTAGAGCAGTCTATTAAAGCATTACATAAACCTGATGCACCTACTGCACCAATTTAATTATAACTTTTACAATATTGAAGAAATTATTAATAATTAATTAGTTATTTTGAAGGAAAAAACAAAGATGAAATTAATAATCATATCAAAAATTGAATGAGTGAAATAAAGCAAAAAAAACAACATCAAGCAATAAAATGAAAATTTAAAAACAAATACATAAATTAAAAGAATTTTATTGTTTTAAATTCATTTAAACATTTAAAAATATCAAAATTCAAAATAAATAAACTGTTTTTACTAAAGATTAAGTGCTAAATTTGAGAGATTATTGCACTTTACTAAAGCAAATCCTAAGTTTTATGCACCAATTTCACCAATTTAATTCTACCTTTTTAAATATTGAAGAAAAAATAAATAAATAATGAATTAATTATTTTGTTAGAGGATAAAAAATCAAGAAAAAATAATAAAAAATAAAAATAATTAATCATCAAAGCAAAAGTTGAAAATGAAAAAAAATCAGTTAAATCAAGAAAGAAAGAGAGAAAAACATTGAAAGATAGCAAAAAGAAAACTAAATCAAATAAAAATAAACTAAAAGAGTTTTATTGTTTTAAATTCATTTTTTTTAAATATCAAAATCCTTTACTCTAGATTAAGTGTCAAATTTGAGAGATTACTACAATTTGCTAAAGCAGAAACTAAATCTGATACACCTATTGCACCAATTTTATTGTAACTTTTACAATATTGAAGTTTAAATATATAATTAATTAATTATTTAGTTAGTGAATTAGTTAGTTAGAAATAAAAATGAAGAAAAATATGAAATAATAGCTAACAAATTAGTTAATTAATAAATATATCAAAGTAAAAGTTGAAAATGACATAAACAAAAATAAAAAATTTATTTTTTTATTAAAAATATCAAAATTTAAAGCAAATAAAATATATATACCCTAAATCAAGTTTCAAATTTTAGAGACTATTCAATTTTGCTAAAGCAAAACCTAGGCCTGATGCACCTATTTCACCAATTTAATTGTATCTTTTAAATATAGAAGAAAAAATATAGGAAAAAATCTAGAAAAAATAAAATAAAAAGTAGAAAATAAAAAATGAATAAGTAAAATTAAGAAATAAAAAAAATAAGCCGAACAAAAAAGAAAAATTATGCAAATAAAAAGCTAAAATAAATAAATGAATTATTCTATATTAAAAAATATGAAAACCAAAATAAATAAATAAACTATTTTTACTAAAGATTAAGTATCTTTGAGAGATTAGTGCAGTTTACTAAAGCAGAAACTAAGCCTGATGCACCAGTTGCACCAATTTAATTGCTACTTTTTAAATATTAAAGAAAATATAAATTATCAATTATTTATTTAAAAAGAAAGAAAGAAGAAAAAGTTAAGAAAAATATGAAATGAATTAATTTATTGTTTTAAATTGAATTTTATAATAAAAAATATTAAATTCCATAACAAATAAACCGTTTTTACATGAGATTAAGTGATAAAATCGAGAGGTTATTGCATTTTGATAAACCAGAACATAAGCCTGATGCACCAATAGCATTAATTAAATTAGACCTTTATAAATATTGGAGAAAAAATATATAATTAATTTTTTAGAAGGAAAAAATCAAGAATAATTATGAAATAAGTTAATTAATAATCGTAAAAAAAATTGGAAATTAAAAATTAATGAGTCAAACTAACATATTAAAAATATATTCAGAATAAAAAGAAATTTACACAAGTAAAAAGCAATAATAAATAAATTATTTTAAATTTTTTTAATATAAAAAAATATCAATATCCAAAACAAATAAACTGTTTTTACTAGAGATTAAGTGTTAAATTTGAGAGATTAGTGCAGTTTGCTAAAGCAGAACCTAAGCCTAACACACCTTCATTATCAATTTAATTGTTACTTTTTATATATTGAATAAAATATAAATAATTAATTCGTTAGTTATAAAGAAAAAATATGAAATTAAATTAATTAATAATCAAAGTAAAAGTAAAAAAAAAAAACAGTTAAATTAACAAATAAAAAAAACATAAGAAAAATAAAAAATAAAAAGGAAAAAATAAATATATTAAATGAGTTTTTTTATTGTTTTAAATTGAATTATATAATAAAAAAAAAAATATTAAAATCATAACAAATAAACTGTTTTTACTAGAGATTAAGCGTCAAAATTGAGAGATTATTGCACTTTGCTAAACCATAACCTAAGCCTGATACACCAATTGAGCCAATTTTATTCTACCTTTTTGAATATAGAAGAAAAATTATATAATTAATTTGTAAGTTAGTTGGAAGGAATAATTATGGAATGAGTAATTTATTTAATTATAAACACAAAAGATGAAAATAAAAAATGATTGAGCTAAACTAAGAAAGAAAAAAACACACTCAGAAATAAAAAATTTAATAAAAAGCTAATAATTAAATAAATTAAAAAAGCTTATTGTTTTCAATTCATTTTTTATAAAAAAATATCAAAATCGAAATTAAAAAAATATTTTTTACTCAAGACTAAGTGTCAAATTTGAGAGATTAGTGCATTTTGCTAAAGCAGAACTTAAATTTGATGCAGGACCAATTTAATAAGACCTTTTTAAATATAGAAGAAAAAATATGTAATTAATTATTTATTTAGAAGGAAAAAATCAATTAGAATAATAAAAAATGAATGAATAATTAAAATCAACACAAAAGTTAAGAATAAGTTAAAATAACTCAAAAATTACTTGTCTCACTAAAAATAAATAAATAAATAAATATAGATAAAAATGTTATTAAAAAAAATATTAAAAATTATTTGAAAATTAAAAATAAAATAAAGAATAATAAAAAAATAATAAATTAAATATACTTTAGATCAATTTCAAGAACTGAATGAGATTAATATTCAGATTTATAAAACTATTTATTAATATATAAAAAAATTAAAGAATATTTACAAAAAAATAAATAATTACATCTTTTAGATTTCTATAATATTTTTTCTATTATATCATTTATTTATTTTTTCAAATATTTGATTGGAAATTGAAGGAATTTTAATTAATTATAAGTATATTAAAAAATGAATTTAGCTTTATTCAGAGATAGTTTGGATAAAAGAATTATTAATTATAAGATAGATAAAATAGTCATTTAAAAATCTTGCTTTATGGAAGAAATATGAAAAAAAAGTTAATTAAATATTCATTATTAAATCTTAGTAGCACTAATTAAAATCTATAATATAAAATATAGTAGCTTTAGAAATGGGTAAGCATATTTCGAAAAATAATTCGCACTTAAATTTAAAAAATCCTTTTTTCATAGTAGATTTAGTGAATCAAATAATCAATGAAAAAAAAAAAATATATTGTAAGGACTTATTAAAATAAACAATGTCTTTATTAATTAAGACAGACCTAATTTTATCTAAACTTTTTGGAGGTACCTATATTTCTTAACTATAAAAATTATAGCATCTGAGTTATTATGGTATTTAAAATGTGTTAGATATAATTTTTAGTAAGACCTCATTCTACTTTAGAAAAATAGAACTATTTTACTAGTTATAGACAATTTGAATTTTCAAATAAATTATTAGAATTTATAAAAAATAGAGTAAAATATATCCTTAATATTTGATAATTTAGAGATTAAAAGTAATTGAAAACTAAATAATATGTGAAAAAAAATAACAAAATTAAAAGACATTTAAAAATAAGTAGAACAAAGATAAATATTTATGAATAAAAAATATTAAAATAAAAGAAGTATAATAGATAGATAGGCTTTAAACAAAATAAAATGAAATAGAAAATTTAATATTTTTAAAGTATTGAAGAATATAGGTTAAATGGAGTATTGACAACTTAATGAATTATTTACTATTAAAAGGCAAATTATTAACGATACAAAGTATTTAAAATAAAAAGTATTTAATAACGGTCAATATCAATAAATAACAAATACTTGCTTCATAATTTAAATGATTATTTAAAAATTTGATGGTGAAATTTAGTCCAAACATAAAAAAAAATAAATGAATTTAAAAAAATATAGAAAAGTAAATTTATAAAAAGTAAATAGGATTTGTATTGAAAACTCATTATAACCAAGATTTAAATCAGCAACATAAGAAAGACATCAAACAAAAAACAAATAAATAAGGTAATTATATTAATAGATAGATAGATAGATAACAATTAGCTTTGGGTGAGTTAGACATAAAAATGAATTATTAATTTTGAATTAAGTGAGAAATGATTGAATTTATACATTTATTAATGAATTAATTCATTAATAGATGTATTTAAAAAAGAGATTTATGTAATATTTAAAAAATGTATATGTATTAATAAGTAAAAAAGATCAAAAATTAATTTTGTTTTAAGGCTCATAGAAAAGAAATAAAGCTGTTCATTACCATCTCAAAAAAAAATATCAAAAAAACATTAATATAATTAGTAAGTAATTCATCAAAAAAAAAAAATAGATAAAAAATACGAAGAAAATAATAGTGTAGCTACTAATTATTTAAAATTAAGCATTACGAAAAATTGATAAACTCCATATTTTTAAAGCGTTTTTAGTTTATAAGGCACTCAAACAAATCTAATCGGTTCCAAAAATCTCAAGATCTGTTTATTTCATAATAGGAAAGCGTTAGAGAGATACTTTATCATACAAGTTAGAACAAAAACTTTACTCAAATATTACTTATTAGATTGTAGGATAATTTAAAATAATAAATTTGAAATGCAAAATTCACAATCTCAAATTACTGACTTTGAAATACTAAAGCGTCTTGGTGAAGGTTCTTTTGGGTCTGTCTACTAGGTTAAGAGAAAAAGTGATGAGAAGATTTATGCCATGAAAAAGGTTAAAATGATGTCTCTTTCAACCAAGGAAAAGGAGAATGCCTTAAATGAAGTGCGTATCCTTGCTTCCATCAAAAGCGACAATATTATCAGCTACAAAGAAGCTTTTTATGACGAAAAGTCATCCACATTATGCATAATCATGGAGTTTGCAACAAAAGGTGATGTTTTATAATAAATTAGTGAAAAGAAGAAGAAACATTCTTATTTTGAAGAAAACCTTATTTGGAAATATGCAGCAGATATGCTCTTGGGACTAAAGTCCCTTCATGATATGAAAATTCTACACAGAGACTTGAAAGGAGCAAACGTTTTCATTGCAGAAGATGGGTCATTAAAGCTTGGAGATTTGAATGTTTCCAAAGTTTAAAAGAGAGATTTTGCCTACACCTAAACAGGAACACCATATTATACCTCTCCTGAAGTTTGGTAAAATCGTCCATATGATTCTAAATGTGATGTCTGGTCTTTAGGATGTGTATTATATGAAATAGTCACTCTTGAACCACCCTTTAAAGGCACTTCCATGGAAGATCTCTATAAAAGAGTCTTGAGAGGCAACTTTTCTCCAATCAACTTGTAAAGATACAGCTCTGACCTCTAGAAGTTCATCGAGTCATGCTTAAAAGTTGAGCCTAAAATGAGATCTTCAGTAGAGTCTCTATTAAACCATAAGTGCATAATGCCTCATCTAAAACCAGAACAGATAGCCATGCTCGAAAAGAAGAAAAAGGAAAAAATAGATTTATTGCAGACCATCAAGCTTCCTTATGGAAACAACTTGAAAGAAATTAACAAGCGCTTACCCAAATCAAATTATGACATATTAGATGAAAAAATAGAAGAATATGAGCAAGAAATAAAAACTGATTAAATTCGTCTTAAGAAAAAAAATGAAGACCGTCCCTACTCAGCAGTGGATCCTACAAGTAATTTAATAAAAAATAACTTAGCATAAAAGCCAAGCGAAAACCCAATTTAAAGACCTAGAGATAATTCAGCCCATAACAACAACAACAACAATAATAATAACTATTATAATTATTCTCCACAACCAAATAATAGATTATAGTCAGCTCAACCCTAAGTAAAAAGAGTTTTAAGCAATAACGATCTAGGAGTTATTAATAATCCAGGAAAGTACTATATGCCTCCAATTGGCAATAATTAACAAAAATACAATTATCACTATTATAATTAAGAGAAGCCTTATTAACCTAAAATTGCGATCCACTAGCAAAAAGACTCAGTTTACAATAATGGCGGAATTCAAAGATATAACTCAAAAGAGGTACTTTATAAAAATGCTGAATAAATTGTTGGAAGAGTCAGAAAATCTACCGATGATCTATTAGAAAATAATAGAAATTATGTTAACCAAAGACCTCCTTCTAATTATTATTCTAATGATAATAAAGGTATTCCAAAACCAAAACTCCAACCCTTAAATAACATTCCTAAAATTCCTGGCTCACCTTAAGTCAATAACAATGCAAATTTACCACCAAAACCATTCAGAAATTATTGAATGAATAATAATAAAAATTTCTTGCTAAAATGTAATTAAATAATATATACATTATTTTCTATCTATTTCTATTTAGTGATATTAATTTATAAATTCACTGTTTATTACAATATTTTATTGTATTCCTTTATGTATCTATAGTTCCTCCCTTCTTATTTTTCATAATTAATTAATCAATTAAATTACAAAAATATATTTTGATTTCAATAAAATTTTGATTACATTATTTCAATTACATTCTAATCTCATTTATTTGTTTTTTTCATCCATTAAAAAAAATACTAAAGAATAATCTATTTCATTCATTCCTATTAAGTATTTTTTTTCTCATTATATTTGAATCTTTTTGAATTATTATGAATTTCAAATTTATTAATTTAGAGAAAATTAGGATTGTATAAATAAATACTTAAAAATCAAGAGGTATTTAATAAAATCAATTTTAAAATCAATAATTTAGAGCTAAATCTAGCTATTTAAATCATTTATAATTTTAGTAAGACATATGAAGATGAAAAATCTGTACATTAAATTACTTTTTTGTTTTTTGAATATTGATATTCAAATAAAATATGTCAATTCATCTTTCTTTACTTATATTTTTATACTATCTCTTATGTATATCAATTTGAAATCATAGGAAATCTCTTTTTAGTTAATACATTCATTTAAATATATTTTTGATCAGTTTAAGATAATTTAATATTAACATAAAATTACACAAAAATCGTTAAAACAAATATTTGAGCGAAAAAATGTTATAAATATTTATTTACTTAATTGAGAAAGCATATTATATAGTTGTTGTTATTGTTGGATATATTTTAATAGATAAATTTTGATTGAAAGTTAACACATTTTTTTTTAGTTCTAATAATTAATTTATTTGATGTTTATTTTTTACATTATTTATTTTTTTAATTTATATTTTATTAATTACATTTATTTATTAATTGAACTCAATTTTTTGCAAGTTTTTGAAAGTTAAATGAAAAAAGATCAGCTTAGTCTTATTTTAATTTATTGTTTCCTGTAGAAAATTTAAAATTATTCAATGAGCTCATATTTTAATTGTTTTATTAAGGTGGCTTATGACCTGTTTATCCTAAAGAAGTTTAAGGTTTATTGTTATTATTGCCTAATTTAAATTCAGAAAAGAAATTATCTTATTCTTGAGGAGATTTATAAAGATAATTTTCTTTCAAACTATTTTATTTTTCTACACTCATCGTGTTTTATTTTTTTATTTATTCTAAAAGATTTGTTTTAGCTGCTATTTGTAAAATATCATCATCGTCGTCATCATCGTCATCATCATCCTCTTCAATTTATATCTGTTCTTAGTTTAGTTTTTCATTAGCTTATTTATTTTGACTGTTATAATCCTCACTATATGCTTGACCAATTTAATTTTATTCATCATTTTCTTCATAAATAATCCCACTTCTACTTTATTAGTTTCTCTCAGAAGGTATTTAAAATTAAAAGTCTGAATCATCTTCGCTATACTATTTATTTAGTTCTTACATGTTATCTGACGAATCATTTTGGTTGCAAGAAGTTTTATTCTTATTTGCAAGATCAATTAAATCTATTAAATCACCTTCAGACATTTAAGATAGTGATTCTTCATCATCAAAAATGAGATTTTTATTTTAATCAAAAAATTCTTACTCTTTAGGTAAATCTGATTCTGTAATATCATCAATTAATTCTTTGTCAAATAAAAATTGACTATCTACTTTTGATTTAGAGCTTTGAGAAACTACTTAATTGATCATGATTTTGTCAGTCATTTTGTTTGGATTACATAACTCATTATACTTAGACTTAACTACTTCAAGAAATACTTAAGTATAAGCACGAAACTTTTTAATTTTTTCACTCAAATAACCCTAAGACATCATTTCTTTAACAATATTTTCAACAGTTAATTAATCATAATTCTTTAATAGACTATAGATTGAGCTGTTTTCAATCATTTTAAGTAGGTTTTAACCTGCCTTTTTTTGTAGTTTTTTACCTCTGAGAACGTCTACTAATTGCTTTTAAGTCAGCTGTATGTTTTTATTATACATACTCAAATATTCTTATAGTATATTTTTGCAATCTTAAGTAAAATCTTTTTGTATTATATTGCTTTTAGAAGTTTAATTTCTGCAGTTATCGCACATTTTATTGCAAAATTTAGGTTCAAATTTTTCACCCAAGTGTGCTAATTGCAAAACCCTTCTACAATTAATTGTATCTTCGCAATATCTATATATAAATATTCAATATATATTGTAAAACTTAATAATTACTAAATTTAATTTTAAACTTTTAATTTAAAAAATAAATATATATGTAAAATTAATTCTTAAATATTTAATAAATATTGGTTTTGGTTATAAAAGAGATTTTACCTTATCATTTTACTTAAATGAGCCATGCATTCTTCTTTTTTCTATTTATTGCTGCCTTCATTATTAGTGATCAAAAAGACTAAAGAATTTTTATCTTTTGGAGAGTAGTAAATTCTGCAGTGAGATATTTTACCATCTCTTCCTGCTCTACCTGCTTCTTAATAGTAATTTTCGATAGATTTAGAAAAAGTATAATGGATGACAAATCTGACATCATGCTTGTCGATACCCATACCAAAAGCTATATATATTTGAAAATTTTTAATAATCAAATTAAATTATTTCTAATTTTATTACCTATTGTGGCACATATTACTTAAATATCATTTGACATCCAAAGTTATTGAACTTATTCTTTTTCTTTGTCATTCATAGATCCGTGATAATATGCTGCATTAATTTTATATTATATATTTAGCTTACTAGCTAATTCTTCTGAGTCTTTTTTTGTGCAGCAATATATAATACCACTTTGCTTATTAAACTTTTCTGTAAAATAGTAAAATTTTTTAGCTAAAATAAAGAAAAATAATAATTATGATTTATTTACCTTTGATAAAATTAACCATATGCTCGATTGTTACTTTTTAGGGTATCCTTACTACATCGTAGTAAAGATTTGTACGATTAAAAGAAGATTAAAAATACAGAGTTCCTTTCATATTAAGAAGTTAAATAATATCTATTTTGCACTTTTCAGTAGCTGTAGCAGTTAGAGCAAGTGTAGGAATGTTTGGATATTTTATTTTTAACTATCCTAAAGAAAGATAATCTTTTCTAAACTCGTGTCCCCATTAAGAAACACAGTGAGCTTCATCAATAACAAATCTTCTCAATTTATTTTTTTCATAAATTTAGCTTAAAAATTGGTTAAAATCTTCATCTGATGATATTTTTTCTGGTGTGATTAACACAATTTTAGACTAATTCTTATCTGAATAAAGTATTGAATCTAATTCTCTTTAGTAGTTCTTCCTAGCTCCTTAAACTCTGATAACTGGAATATTGAGCCTAAGCATGTGATTGTATTAATCAGAAATAAGTGAAATAAGAGGCATAATAACAATATAAACTCCATCTTAGACAAGTCCAGGTATTTAAAATGTAAGAGATTTGCCACCTCCAGTGGGCATCATTGCAAACACATCTTTATTCTCCAAGACACAATTTATAATTGCTCTTTAATTATTTCTAAAATTTTTATAGCCATAGACGTTAGCTAATATATCATTAACCTTCTGATCCCAAGGATGTGGTTTTATTGCCTTTTATATTTGAAAATTAAATAAATCATTTTAATCAATAAATATTTTTAATTTTCTTTGATGAGGAAAAAGAAAATATTAAAATATTAAAATAAATAAATTTAATTATTTCTTCATCGAATTAATTAGAATAATGTTAATTTTTTTCTGAAATTGTAATAAATTATTTTACATATTCATTAATATCTGCAACTGTGTAGTATTAGTTACTTTTAGAGACATGTTTTCCTTTATTTTTAGATTCAAGAGGAACAAATGGTCTTTCTGGTTAATTCAAATAATCTAAGGTTGAATAATCAACATCCTTTATGTCAGCTTGCTTTTTTGCAGTAGAAGATGCAGTGAGTGCACTACCTGGCCCATTGGATAAATTATTTGTCCAATTATTTCTATTGACTATTGTAGGAGGTGTAAAATTAGAACGTACGTTAGAGCTTTGATTTACAGCTTAGGCTGCAAGCCCTATTTTTTCAGTTTTTTGTGGTAAATTTTAAAACCCATTTTTAACTTCTAATTTATTATTTTTGGTATTGAGAGAAGTATTAAGCGAAGTAGACTCGAAATTTTAAGTATTTGAATTAGAATCTATCACTTTGTACTTCTCAAGCAACTCACTTATTTTAGAATTTTAATTTTTTGTCTTTTTTTCTTTTTATCCGTTATTGATCAACATGAAACTATCAATATCATTAGAGTTATTTACTTATCTTCTTTTATCTGTTAAAGAAGCCTCTACTTAAATCCCTCCATTACTATTTTAATTTACAAATTTCAGAACTTGCTATTGCTATTATTATTACTATTAATCTTAATTCTAATTTTTTTTAAGCTTGATAGCATCAAAACCCGTAGGCTTTAGAGTAGTATTTCCTTGTCTATTGAACTTTTTTATTTTATTTTTATGCATTTAAATTAATTTTGATTTTTATAAAATATTTTACATTAAAGTTCTCATTGCTGTTCTAAGAGTTATTGTTAGAATTTGAACTATAAATGCCGCTTAATGTCTACATATTATTAGAGTTACTAAAATCATAAGAAGGTCCAGATATTTTGTTTCCTAACCCTTTTTGCAAACCGCTCAAGCTAGTTGGTTATTTTTTATTTAAATTGTTGCTTATTGGCTTTTACAATTCAGTTTTCATGAGATCATTTTACTCTTCAGTAATTGATTAACGCTCTCTGTTTGTTTAATATTCTATAAGTTCATCCAATAAAGCATCATCTACTTCTCCATCGTTGAAATCAGCACCTCTATCAAAAGATTAGTCCTAATCTTCTAAGCTTTCTGTGGCACTGCATGATACAGCGTCTGCAAAATCTTCTATCTTCTTTGCTTATCTTTTGCTATCTATAAATTACTACAATATTTCATCCATTTTAATATGAATTTCTGTGTGGATTTTATCTTGTGATATCAAATTTTGCTGAATAATTATGAAAATAATTAGTCAACTTATTTAAAACTAATCAAAATATCAAATATCAGCTTGATAATGTTAATAATAAATTGATATAAATATATGCTATTAACAAATTAATAAATAGACTGATTTTTTCTGTATTGTTTTTTATCTTTTACTTAACAAAACTAATCAAAAAACATTTCAATCTTTTATCCTTTTAATCAATCAATCAAACATCAAGCAAAAGCAAGAAATAGAAAAGCAAACAAATATAAAGAGCTTGCATATTAATTAAAATTTCTATTTGCATTATTAAATCCTATAAATTCTAATAATCTTTTTCAATTTCATAATATCAAGCGCCAAATTCAAACTTAATATTTCATTCATTTTTGATAATAGCAAACATAAAATGCTATTTTTTCATATTTAGCATTTAACGAATCTAAGAATCCATGCATGCAATCAATTTTATTCATTGAATAAATTTTTTAATTTTTATAAATCTACAAAATTATTTTAAATTTATTTTATTCTTTCAAAATTAATTTTGACTGCATAAAACTCATTAAAAAATAAATTAATAACATTTAATTTTTATTTGTAAATTTAAAGTTAACAGAAAAAATATTATTATCTACTTCAAATTTATTAAATTTTTTTAATCAATAATATGATAAATTAAAAATGAAGTTATTAATTATAATAATCCAAATTATATTATAATTTAATAGAATTAATACAGAATATATAACTAAAATAACAAATTTTTAGTATTAATTTTATTAAGAGGAAAAAAATAATTTATTTATATAGGTAAGCATATAATTTCATTATTCTTTTTTATAAATTTTCTGTATTTATTAGATTTTTGATATATTTCATAAAATTTTTGTATCAATCAAGATAAGGAATAAAATTCTCAAATAAATATTTAAGTGTTTTAAATTAATATTTTGATTCGATCATAAAATAATCCAAAAAGAAAAAGCACAATAAAGCATATTAGCTCGTATGAACTATTTTTAAAATATTATCAATATCATGGTAGAGGTTTTAGCTAATTTTAATATGAAATTGGAAGAGTCTATACTTCTTTTTTACACAATCCTTCAAAGATATGAGCTTTAAACAGACTGAAAATCAGCAAATATACATAAATAAAATATAGCAATTATCTATATATTTTTATAATAAGTAAATACATAGAAAATTTATATCAAATTTATTTTATTTCATTTATAAAATATTTAACAATTATGATTGAATTGATTGAAAACATTTTACTTTTACTTACCATTTAAATCAACATTTTTGTAAAAAATAAATTAAATTTACATAAAAAAAATTCATATTTGATAATAATTTATTTATAATATTAATATAAATAATTTAAAAGCTCATAAAAAAATTTTCTTAAACATTTAAATAAATAAAAATTCTTCTTATTTTAATTTAAGTTTTAAGATTAAAGTATTTATAAAATGAAGATTTCTTTTAAACTAAAAATTTGTTAAATAAAAATAAATTGGTAGAATTAAAAGAAAAAATTAATTCTAACTAATTTTAAATTTTTTATTATTAAAATTATGAAATAAGCACACCATAAATATTATATATTGCAATTATCTTAATTTTAATGTAAAAATCAATTTTTTTTAATTAAATTCATTTTTAAGCAAAATATTTTATAGACAATATTTATTTTAATTAAAAATTAAGGCTTCTTTTTGATAAGATAAAGTAAGATATAAAAAAAAACAAAATGAGTAAGATATATTTTATTTTAGATTCAATTTAATTTTTAATTTTTTAAAAATGAGAGGAAATAGTTATTTTCCATGATCAAAGAACTGTGCAATAAAGACAGAGATTGTTTTGTATAGATGAATTCTTTGTAAATCGTAAAGATAAATATGTTCCAAAGCACAAGATAAATGATTGTAATTAAAACAATAGCTATCAACAAAAGTATTAGTTGAACTTCTTTAATTAGCTAAAATTAACTTTTATTTTCATTTTAAGCTTGATATTAGATTGTTTTATAGACAGCATTTATCCAGTAAAGTAGTTTATCAAACTCATTTAGCGTTTTGTCAACTGATTCCCATTTTTTAAAATTCTCAATAAATAAGGCTCTATTAGAGTTAGAGGCAACTAATATTTTTTAGATGCTGTCTTGCTAGGTAAATAGCTCAATATTAGCCACTAGAATTCCTGACTGAAGTATTCCACTCCACACTTGGTCACATCCCTCAATTTATGTTATGTTTGAATCGATACTATAAATTGGTAATTAGTTAGTATCAATCAAGTTACAAATATTTTCTGATAATGGATTTATAAATATGTTTTCGTATTATGATATTTAAGATCCGCTACTTTTATCAAAGTCGCCCTTTATCTGTTAGAGACCTTGAAGTTTTAAAGTTTCTTCAGCTATTGTTTATTCAAAATTGAAAATAATATCTTTTATTTGTTACTGAGTACCAATAGTTTGGTGAATTTAAGAATATAGAACAGTTTGTTTAATTAGATTTAAATTTTTAATTCTAACTAAACTTACATATTCATCAATCAACTTACTGTAATTTGACAAAAAATTATTTGTGTAGAAGAAATTAACACAAGGATAAACTGAAACTACCAATAAAATAACAAATCCGCTAACTATGAGATATGTTTTACATTTTTTTAAATTGCTTGTTGTGCTGCTAGCCCTCTTTTTCCACTAAATATTCTTTTTAAAAATTGTTTTAATAAAAATTAAATAAAAATACTTATTTACTTCGATTGATTTATAGTTATTCTTTGTAGAGTAAAAAGAAGATTTTTCATTACTTTACTTTTGAGATATGAAAGTCAAAAATTAATCGATTTACAGAATAATATTTTCTATTTTTTCTCTCGTTAAGTTGGAAAACAACTTCAAGATTATCTCTCTTTATTATTAAATTGCTAAATAAAGAGGAATTACAAATAATAAGCTGAGTATAGATACAGTTTCAATAAGAATAAATCCAAATTTTAAAAGGTTTTAAACGTAAGTCACTGAATCATCAGCATTTAAAATGCTTTAATTAAGCACTTAGTTGTACTAATCGTAGAATTATTAAATATTAGAAAGAATATCTAATTCATTAATTTGTTAAACGATATTATTTATCTTAAAATAATAATAAAAGTTCTCAATATTATCAATCATAGCATACAAAAGAAAAGTTGTCATTTACTATTACAGCAAATCTTAATTATAATAAAAGTATCCTGTTTAATTTTTAAATACATCTTTAATCCTTGAGCTCTGATAATCACTTTAGACAATTGATACAATAGTTGCCTCATAATTCTAAAAATTTTGATATTAAATATTTTACAATTATTCTATCCGTGTTTGATTTAAACTATAGCTAGAAAGTTCTAAATTGTAGTTCACCATAAGCTAGCCAATCATAGCCACATAGAGATGACTTTCAACTAATAAAGATGAATAGCCTAATTTTTTAAAACAATTATTTCTTTATTTTAGATAAATGAGTTTTAATTTTTTAAAACTTTTAAGTAAATAATTAATAATTTTAAGATATGTTGTGAATTTTTAGAAAAAACGAAGTAATAAAAATTTGTAAATTAATTTAGCTTAGTGAAAACAAAATAATGAAATGATAAAATTATTTACTTAATTGATCTATACTATCTACTTAACTAGTGAAACTTTAATTCACTATTATGTAAGTCACAAAAGTCATGGTTAAAAAGAATAGATACGAAACAATTCCAAAAATTAGAATGCTATAAATCAATGCATGTTTTGATAGGTCAAAAATATAGTTGATGATCTTTCTTTTTAGTGCATTGAATTCATTTCTAAAAGAAGATGCAGAAGCTTTATCATTAATTTAACTGACAACATAATCGTTAAGCATTTCAGAAATGTCTACTGATATATTTAAGTTATCTTGACTTTAATCAAGATTTAAAAAAAGTTAACGCTTTTTTTTACTTAAATTTTTATTATCTTTCTTTAAGTCTGAATCATCACTATTGTCATTATCATCTTCATTATCATCTAGCTTTTTATCTTAACTACTCTCAGATGGAACTTCTGATCTAGGAGATTAATTTCTATTTTGCTACTAGTTATTTTATTATAGATTAGCTAATTTCTAAGAATTTCGAGTTTAACTTAAGTTTTTTGTGAAATTTAAGTGATGTAATTCAGAAGATTTTTCTTTCATTATAGAAGCAAAGCTCAATATATTAGAAGGTTAGCCTGTTAAATATTAAAAAAATTTATACTAATTCTCAATAAAATTTTATAATAATACTTTAAATTCTAATTAATTAAAACCAATATTTTTCTTGTATAATTAAAAGAAACTAAAAAAATTTTATAAAGAAAATTTTTTTTGATATTTGTTAAATGTATTCTTTTTAATTTATGGGAAAAAACAGTTGATAAAAGAAAATAATTAAAGAGTATTAAATTAAAAATGAATAATCTTTTTGAGATTAATAGCTTTCAACAAAAAAAAAATTTACTTTTGAAAAATTTCTGCTGAACTGACTTTCTTTTGATGAGTTGCTTGTGATTTTTAACTGCTTATTTTTGGAAGGAAAGCTGTTTGTTAAAGCTTTTCAAATACTTTTAGTTTAAATTATTTTCAAAATTTTGATTAGTTAAAGAATTTTGATTGTTTAGCTTCGAGTAAGCTTAGTTATTAGCTTTTTAAATTTACATGTTCATTTCTTACTTAAAAATGCTTTATTTTCCATTTTATATATTTTCTAAATTTTGATTTTAATTTTCTAGTTTTAATTCAAAGATTTCATCTAATTTGGATTCTTCAATCGAATCTTTATCAATTAAGTTCTATAATTTTATAGGAGAAAGGCTTAAAGAGTTCATATTTTGAGTTAATTGTGGAACTTCAGCCATTTCACTCATCTCAGTTATATCATTTGTGTGGATATTTTCACCTAACAAGTTTTATAGAATTTCTGCTTCATTATCTTAGGAATATTTCTTACCTTCATTAATCGTATATTATTCTTCATCACTATCTTCGCTTGATACAGAATCAGATAAGATTATATTATTTTAAACAAATTATGTTTAATAAGGGTCACTTAACTTTGTTGCATTTTTACTGTTTTTTTCTTTGATTTTTTCAAGCATGCTTGACACTTTTAGTTTTGTTTTGTTATAAATTTAATATTTTTAGCTTTTAGGAAGCTTAATCTTAGTAATATTGCAGATAATTTATTTTACTTCGTTAATTAATGTAAATGAATCAAACGCCTTTTCTATTTTCTAATATTCACAAATTTCTAGATAAAAAAATTCTTATGCATTTATAGCCACTTATTTAAGAATTTTAAATGAAAAATCAAAAACATCATAATCGTTTTCTGAAGATTCATCCAACAGTTTAAATAAAGACACAATTTATTTATTTTTAACAACGTAGGCATCACTTTTCACTTAGTAAAATTTGTTGAGAACTTCACTTTTAGGAAGGATAAATACTGTTTTGTATTATCTACCTATTTCTAAATCTAAGTACATGAGAGGAATCAATTTACGAAAATTCATCTATCGAACTTTTTCTATTAAATTAAATGATAAAAATAAATATTTTTAATTATGTAAAAACATAAAAATCAGAGTTAAATAAATTTTATCTAAATATGTAATAAATAAATTATTTTAAGAATAATTTTACCAAAATCTATTCCACACCTTAGAAAAATTTCAACATAAGCTGAAGGCGTAATGTTAGAAATACAATAACCTAGTGATTTAAAAATTTTTTAATTTTACTCTTCTATTTCTTATTCATTTTTTTCTTCAGTAGGAGCATTTTTTGAAACACTATTTTTCATTTTAGAATTATTGCCATCTTTTTATTATTAATTCATTACACCATTGTTTTAAGAACCAGGATTTTAGTAATTATCATTAAAGACACAAGGAGGCTCAGCATCTAAGTTAGTAAAGCTTACTAGAATCTATTCTTAAGAACTGTGATTATTTCTATAAGAGCTTATTTGAATTTTGTCAAAGTAAATAAATTCACTATTGCATGATTTTACTTAAAATAAAACATTTAAACCAAAATCATCTGTTCCTAATAAAGAAAGCTAAAAAAATGCATTTAAAGGAACCAGACATTAATTTTATCTTTTACCTAAAAGAAATTTATTCATATCTTTGATCTCAGTAGGATGCTCCACACCTTTTGAAATATAAAATTGTAAAATTTTGTCATGATGCTTTCCAATAGCTGGAGGCATTAGAATATTGATTGATTGATCATACAGCTCTTTAAAATTATATCTAATTAATATTTAAAACAAATAAAATTTTTAATTCTAATAAAATAATTTATACCCAAATATTTTTAAAAGATTTTTAGATGCTCTTTTTATTTTTCCTAACGGATTGAGAAGCGAAACAAAAACAACACCAGTTTATTTATGGAAAATTTCATAAGATTTTTACACAATTTTGATCATTTATAATGTAATTTTTTTGTATATCTTGGATAGATTTCTTTTAAATTTTTATCTTTTTAAATCATAAATGTTAGCAAATATAAACGCATATTGCTAAAGCTTTTAGCTTTTCCTATTTATATAGAACAAATTTTAAATGTCCATTTCTATTTAGTTTCTTTCATGAATTTGCAATTTGCACACATCATAAAATGAATTCAATTCTATATGATCTTAAGCTATTTAGATATAAATTTGTCTTTACTTTATAATAAAAGCCTTAAATCTCTCTTTAAAATTGTCAATTTATTCACAGAAAATGAGGGATTGCTCAAAGTGATTGTACTCTTCAAATTTTAAATATTGCTCAAACTAAACTTTTGCTTTTCTTTGTAGTAAATAGCTCAGCACTCTTTATTCAAGAGATTAAGTATCTCTATCTTATTCAAGTAGCAGCAGATATACATACGACTTGACAGGACATCTAAGGATTTCAATTATAAAAGAACAATATATTATCAAAAAATTTTTATCGAAATTCTTTTCTTTTTTCCTCATTTTTAGGTGCTATTCAAATAATTTATCAATAAATTTTATTAGAAATCTTTTCTTTTCTTTGCAGTCCTACTTCTTGTTTTTCTCCATATTTTCATATCTTTTACAAAAGCATTATTTTTTTTTGCAGGCACATTTGTGTTAAACTTTAAGACCCTCGAATATGATACCCAAATCAGATGAATAAAATTTTTCTAAATTCAAATCGTCTTTCTTCAGCAAACTAGCTCTAACGTATTACTCCAATTCAGATGGAGTTTTAATCTTTTCTATTTGCATGTTTAATATATTCTACAATTTTCTTTGATAAAATTCTTTTCCTAGTCTAACCGAAAATATAAATGAACTAAATATCAAAAAAGGTATTGCTATATTTGGCTCTCCTAAAACTTTCATGAAAAGCAAGCAAAAATTAAGTGTAATGTTCACTAATCTTTTAATTTTTAACAATAATTTTTTTTTTATTAGAAATTTTGCTTGATTTAAATAAAAACGGTTTCTAAATATTTTCATAAAAGTGTTTAAAGCCAAATCAAAGAAATGCAATTTTTATGTAAAATATATTCATTTAATATATAAAGATTCAATTAAAAAAGAATTATATAATGAATTTTACATCAAAATAAAGTTGAATTGTTCTACTCTGTGATCAAAAAAGATAATTCCATTAAGCACATGATTTGCTATAATCCCACTAAGTAGTATTTAGAAGCTAAATATAAATGGTTAGGAGGTTTAACTCTAATAAAAAGCCATTATAAAGCAATTTCCAAAGAATTGTATAAAACCAATTGAATTAACTTTTTTTGATAAGAAATCAGTTGGTGAAAAGGAAAAGTTAAAGTCATGGAGAATGATTATAATTCCCATAAAGATAGAAATAAAAAGCTGAGGGACATTTGCTAAAGTGAATGAAGAATAATCTACAAGGGAAGTAAAAATAGGGGCAAATAAAATGTAAATATAGCATTTCATAGTGAATGACATAATATAAGCAATGTTGTTATCAATATCTTTTGGTAGATTTATAAATAATTTTGTAAAAATTACAGAATAAAAACAATAATGGATAATAGATCCGAATAACCCAACAAAACTAGAAGCTCCATTGATGAACTGATCTAAAAGAGGTTTCAACATAAAATAGCTTGTTATAGTTTTAAATGATGTAATAATATCATATGTAAATGATCTATCATCATTAATCAGTATTTAAATATTATAAAATGATAAATAGATCATTTGTAGCTGCTGTATCAATAGAAAAACAAAGGATACAATTATACCGCGATCAAAGCTAATGATGTATTAGCTCATTTAATCTTGTAGTTTTTGTTTAAACTTTTCTTATTACTTCTTGAATATCATGTCTTATATTCTTTAAACTTACTTCTCTACTTTATTTATCTTCTACTTAATTGCACAAAATTTAAAAATATTAAACTAAATTTTAAAGGAATACTAACTTGAAATGTAAAGAAATAACTTAAGCTTTTTAATACATAATCAAAATTTATATACAAAACGATTCTATATAAATAAACATGTATTTATTCTATTTAAAAATTAAAATACCAAACAAATAAAACGCAAAGCAATAAAGTATAATTCTATTCTCTTTTTTATCATTCAAATAAGCTAATGAGTTTTTTTCCAATTAATAACTGAAAAATTAATATATTTTTATTCTTTACAAACACTAAAGAAATTATTTTTAAAATTCCAATTTTTTTTCAATTCCTACAAAATCATTTTTAAGTAAGTTAATTTATCTCATTTTTTAATTATTTTTAATTTCTAACTAATTTTAATAAAAAACAAAAAGAAAAAGAAAAATTTTTTTTACAAATTTAAAAATATTTTCAATGATATTTTAATTAATTAATTTAGCTTTTATAAAAAACTAATATAATTAACTTCAGCTTCAACAGTTTTAGTCAAAGCTTACTTTTATCAAAACATAGATTTGTTATTTTTAAATATTCTTTGAGATGAGTAGGCTTATCTGTGATGATACCATTAGGGCAAGTTTTTGCACACCTGATAAAATCTTGTTCCTTATTAAGGACCCAATAAAAAACCAATATTCCCCTTTTATTTAGATGTTAATTTAAGCCAGGTAAGAAGATTAAGAAATTTTTTAGTATCTAGAATCTTATTTCATTAAAAAATCTTTGTAATCCCTAAGATTCATTAAGTGTTTATTAGTGATATTCAGTTGTGTAGAAAGGAATTTAAAATATTTATCCTTTAATTTTCAAGAATGGAAGAATTCCAAACACATGAGATATCATGTAGCAGAAAAACTCAGTAACTGATAAAAATCTTACTGTTCCACTATCAAATTATTCTATTTCTTTAGAGAACTGATAACTAAAACTACCCCATTACTTTTTTTTAATAAAATTTATAAAAATTATTCTAGTTAAATTCAAGATTAGCTTGCTTAATTAATTAATTAATTAATTAATTACTGTAATATTTTGGCGATTATATTTTTTAATAAGATTATCAACAATCTAAATAATTTTTGGATCTTTTGTTTTCAATTCAAGATTTATATGAGTCTAAGGATATTTTTCAAAGAGCTCCTTTTGTTTATCAATAAATTTATTTCAATTAATAGTTGGAGCACAAAAAATTAATTACTTATAATAACATAGGCTTAACTTATTAGCCATCTGGAACTTTGAAATATTCTTTATCGCTAAAATCCAATGCTATTTAATTTTAATATTTAATTTCTGCAAAGTTAACTTGCTGCACTTCCTAATCTACTCCACATAATCTAAGCATATTTGTGTCATGAAAGCAAACTACTTAGTCATCCTTTGTGAGAATGACATCTGTTTCAATCACATCAGTATCGCAATTTTGTACCTTAAATTAAATGTTTTGAATATAAGTTCAAGTAAAAATTAATACAGCATTTTCAAAAGCTTTTTCAGTATTTTCGAAATTCTCAAAGGACCCTCCTCGATGAGAGATGTGCAAGATCTTTGCTCCTCTCTGCTTAATAGCCTCCTACATTAATTTGCTTGTATGAATGTAAGGTTTCCATAAATATTATGGATTTTTCTAAAAAAAGTAAGACACTCCAAAGAAAACAGAAGCTGCAGTTGTAAAAAGCATATCTAAAATATTATCCAAAAAATACTAATTAAATTAATTAAATTTAATGAATTTTCAAAAACAGAAATAATTAGTTTTTATTGATTGTCTAAAAATACTTCTTTATCTGTAAGTATAATAAAATTTTTTGTTTTAAAATTTTAATTTATATTAAAAATATTTTATTTTATTCTACTCCCAATTTATTCTACTATGCTAAATAATTAATTTTAATAAGTTATATGTAGAATTTTCTATTTAGATTCCAATAAACAGAAAAAATAAACTCTGATTTTGTATAAATTATTAAATTAGAACCTATTTTAAAGTAATTCTTTAAAATTGTCTAGAAAGCAAAAATATGAATTATCTCAAACAAATAAATAATTTAATTTTGTAAGTGAGTTTATTTACATTTTTTTTTTTGAGAAACATATATAATTTGCATATTTTAAATTGAAACAAAAAGAAAATATTTAAAATTGACTAAGTCGACAAAAAAAATATTTGAAAAGAATTTATGGTTGAATTTGAAATATTTGGAGATATTGATGAAATATATAGCACATTAACAAAAATTAAAACATTTATTATATTTATTTATAACATTTTATGCCATATTACTATACTAACTTTGTCTAATACCACTAGGAAATTGTACAACTAATTAATTACTTTACCATCAAAAAGCAAATATACATTTTTGATGATTAATTTGTAATTTTTTTTGCTTAATTACTTATCTTCTAATTGATTGATAATTGAATAGTTTCTTCTATATGATTAAATAGTTTGATTTATTTATCTTATTCAAATTTGCTATTAGTATACTTTAATAGTTTTTAAATAATTACAGTAAAGCTATTTTAACTTTATTCTCTTTCAGAGAAGCTTTTTTATTTGTCAACATTAAAGATTTAAGTCTTTGATGGTAAGGTAATAATTTCTTATTTTTAGTGTGTGAAAATTAGAAAAATAATGTGTATAATCTTAGTTAAATACTAAATAGCAATAAACAGCATTTTTTTGGATTATAAACATCAATATTTGCAAGCTTACTTGCTATTTTAGTGAGATTAATGGCTATGGTGAAGATATTTGATTAAATTAGACAAAAAGGCAGTAATTAAGCAACTGAGTAATATATTTAGCAATGAATTATTAAAGTTTTGTGTATTTATTAATTTTTTATTTGTTTGCTTCAATGTATTTAAAATTTTAATTAGATATTTATATGTTAAAGCTAATTGATCTAGTGAAATATAAAGGTTATAGGTGATAGATATGTTTTATAATGATAGATAGAAGAAAGAGTAGTTTCAGTGCAGAAGGCGAGAAAAAGCTTGTATTTTTCAACATTTTTACTAAATTTTAGTTTGATACATTTGCTGAAATAATACTATTTGCTTGTTTCTTTCTGCTTTGTGATAACTAATCTCACTTGTTTCACTCTTCAGATTCGTCTTCAGCATCATCGTCGTAGCAGTTAGCTTCTTCTTTCTCATCTTACAATTCTCTCAAACTGATGTTAATTTTTTATCTTGAAAACTAGCTAATAGTCAAATCCTTAACAACTTCGTATTTAAAGTCTTTGCACTTAACTGGAACTGAGAAAACAAAATCTGCGGGAATATCATAGAAGCTTCCGTCAGTGTAAACACCCATAGATACGAACTATCCTTCAGGAGTTCCATAAATCCAATTAACTAAGTGGTCACGAATAGCAATTGCAGCACTCATAACTGAGGAGTTCTATCTCAAATTTAGAACTTCTCCTCCCCTTTTTTAAACTTTAGGAATGAAAGTATTCTTAATCCATTCCTCTTCATATATATCTACTGCTGGTTGACCTTCAATGTGTGCATGATTGTGATCTGGATACATAGTTAAACTATGGTTACCTATGTAAATTATTAAAATGATATTAAAATTCTTTAAATAGAATGCCAATTCCTCTTGATTTTTGACATTTAAATTAATTACCCCATAGAATAACATTTTTAACTTCGGTAACAGGTACTTTTGCTTTGATTGCTAATTATGCTATTGCTCTATTGTGGTCAAGTCTTGTCAAGCAAGTGAAATTTTCTTTAGGAATGTTAGGACAATTTTGAATCAAAGTTAAGCAATTTGTGTTTACCTTTTTATTATAAAACAGATAATAAGATTATTTTTACATTAATTGAATGCTTATTAATAATGTTGATATTCATAATTGTAATAGATTATCAAAACTTATAAAAGTATTTCAATTTTGTCATAAACAAAATAGATTGACTGCTTATTAGTCAATCAGCACATTAGCAAATCAATCAAATTTTTATCTCTACCATTTCAAATTGATACTTAAACTAACCAATCTGATTCTTTAACTAACGTGCATAATTAAGTTGGTAATTATCTAAGTTTTCTATAAAAATATATTTTTTTTCTTACTGGATTTGCGATTACTAGAATCTTAGTGCTTGGCTTAGCTACTTTATTCAAAGCTTTACCCTAGATCTTGAAAATTCTGTTATTTACTTAAAGTAAATCAACTCTTTCCATACCAGGTCTTCTTGATTACCCTCCGAGGAAAATGCCAACATCCATATCTTTGAAAAGTACTTCGGGGTCAAAACCGTACTCTATCGAATTAACGAGGGCATAGGCGCAATCTTCTAATTCTAATGCAACTCCTTAAAGACCCTTTGCTTGAGATTCAATATCTAAAAGCTTTAAGTTCATTTTTTGATTAGACCCAAATATTTGGCCAGTGCACAATATAGAATACAAGGCGTATGCAATATTACCAGCAGCGCCTGTAATACAAACATTAATAACTGCTTTATTCTCCATAACTTCTAAAATATGTTTTATATTTTTTTTAAAAATGATAAATACTTTTAATTTCTTTTAAATGTTTTTGCAAATTAATTAATTATTTTTTTCTTTTATTTCTAAAAATAACTAAGTACCAGAAATTAAATTATCAAAAAGTAAAAGTTAAACTAATTTTCTTTCCTTTTTAATTTTTTAGTAAATCCTGATATTTGTTTATTTATTTTTTCTTTTATCTTTACTAATTTAATTGATCACTTTTTTATTTGATTTTTAATTAGGATCATGATAGATGACTTAATCATAATATGATTCTCGTTAAACCTAAATGACTCGTTCTATCTTTGTTGGTGCTAATCCTTTGACGGATTATAAATAGACACATCCTGTATGTAAATATGCGTATGCATGCTTTATATGTCTAAAGTGCTTAACATTTATGCTATCTTAATTTCTAAAGAAAAATGATGGTTGCATATTTGCATATAAAATAATAAAAATTTTATATCCTTCCTATCTAACATATTCTACCAAAAATAATTATTTTTAAATCATACCATTTATTTATGTTTTTTTTGGAATAAATTAAAATAAATAATAATTCTAAAAAAAGTATTCTTTTATCATTTAAATATTGAAAATACACTTCTCAATTTTATATACTTTGCATGATCCTAATTAAATATTTTTTAAATTATTCACTAATATATAAAATTTAGAATTAATATTTTATTAAAATAGAATAATTAAGGATGGATGGATAAAATTATTATTTATCATAGTATATATTAATAGAAAAAATATTTAGAAAATAAAAAAATTAATATTAAATTTTATTACTGATAAGTTATTAATTAAATTCATATATATTATTGTTGAATATATTTTAATAAAGGAAGTAATGAATATAGGAATTAAATAAAAATTGATTGATAAAACAGTTTCAATATTGTAAATATTTATTTAAGAATTCGACTTTTGTGTGTAATTTTCTAAATTTAGCATATCATTATGATTATATTAAATAATCTGCAATGAAGATAAAAATTAAAAAATATAGATGAAGATATGAAATTAAATAATTAACTAAAACTAAATAATAAGTCTATAATTACAAAACTAGAAAAGTTCATAAATGAATGAACAATATATTTTAAATTAAAATGCTTATAAATTATTTTATCTATTAATTATAAATCCTCTATTTTATTTAATAATATATTTATTTTTTTATTATTTTTATATTTATTAATTTTGTAAGGAGTTTAATAAATCAATATAATGTTTTTCAATATTTTTAGTAGTTTTTTATGTGTTTCCTATCTGGGTTAGGAAAATAATTTTTTCAAGAAACATTATTTTTTTTAAGTAAAGCACTCTAATCTTGCAAAACAGAAAAGCGGGAATTAGATAAATGAGACTATCCACTAATCCTGCTTTTTGAATTAGATTTCTCTATTTTAGAAAGATAAATTAAATAAAAAATTTAATTTAATTATAAAATAATAAGATTGGATTGTAAAATTCAATAAAGCAAAATATGAATGAATAAATAAATGAAAGAACGATTAAAAGAAGGGGAAAATTAATTTAATTATAGAAAAATTTTACAAGCAACGTCAATAAAAGATTTCATGAATATATTTTTTATTTAATTAGGATTGGTAAAGCTTGACTTATTTTGCATAGTTTTGCCTTCTTTTTCGCTAGGGATATCATCATCATCAGATTCCTCTTAGTCATCTTCAATAGGATGTAAGTCTTTTTTTTTATTTATTGATATTGTAAAACTGTAAAAAAAGAAAATATTTTTGTTTACATTTATATGATGATTTTTTCTTTTTGATGTCTTTTTCGTCTGGTATCATATCTTCTTCATTTAAAATTTCTTCATAATCATCTTCATATAGTATGTTTTGGTCTACTAATAAGATAAAAAGTTTAGTTAAAATTACATTTCTTTCAATTAATTTAAGGAAAATTAATTTAAGTAAAGTTTTTTAATTTTTTTAGGTAATAAGAGTAGTTTTTTATTAATTGGCAAAAACCTATGTGTTTAAGATTAAAAGAAACTAATAATTGGCTTGAATATATTTTACAATTAATATATTGTAAGGGGTTCGAATATAATTAGCAAATTTGAATATTTTCAAAATCAATTTAAAGAAAAGATCATTATTACTCTAAATTAATTTATTTTAAATGAAGTGATAGAAAATAATTTAGGTTTTTTTGTTTAAATTAAAATTTTTTATGAATAGAAAATAGAATAATTATGCTATTTTATAAAATTAAAATTTTGCATAGAAATTAGTAAAAGATTACAATTATTTTTTTGGTTATTTTGTGCATTCTGTTGCTATGTATTTTATGAATTATTGCTTGCGAACATATCTTTGGTTGAAGAGGAAGGATCGAAAGTCAAACGATTTTTTCTTTATTAATAGATTTCTTTTATATCTGCGCTAGTATGAGGAAAATTTACAAAGTTTTTAGCACCATTTATGTCTTAGCTTTAAGATTAAGATGGCTGCATTAATTTGTCAGAAGTAATAATAATCTGCTAAATCTACTAAAACTGCTAATATTTGATTTGGTTGGCATTATTTTGATTTTATTGCTGCTGCTAATGAGAACTATTTTATTAATTTGTGGAGTTTATTTTAGAGTTGCTTTGAATTTATTAAGGAGGAAAATTTTTTTATTAGTGAGTGTTTTATGCAATATTATTGTTATTATTATGAGTTGTAGTATTTATATTGTTTTAATGAGGTAAACTTATATTGTTGATATTGAGTTGGTTATAGTTTGTTGTTATAAATTTGAAATCTTACTGTGAGTTAATTTTAAAATTAAAGGAATTGTCATCAACATGATTTTAGGCTTAGTTAATTGATGGGTGTTTGTCAGCAGTTGATGTCTAGCTACTAATGTTTGAATCTCCAGGTTTTCTTTGCTCTTTTTTATTTTCACTATCTTCTTTGATTTATTAAAGATTTAGCTGATATAGATTCGATGATTTTGCTATTTCAAGCTGCATTACCATGTTATAAGCTTTATTTTTTTCTTCTTCTTCTTTCATGCTTTACTAATATTTAATATATGAAGGGTGCTACTGTTGCTGTCTTACTACCTGATTCATTTTAGACTTGTATTATTAAGTCTAAGATCCTTCCAAATATTTATTAGCAAGGTCTATTAATTTCTTGTTAGCCAACTGCCTTGCTTTATCAGAAATGTTTTTAAATTGAATGAAAGTTTAAAAGGCTTGTTTAGCTTTTTCTATTTCATTTTTCTGCTCATATTTGAGTCCAAGTGTGAAGTAAATGATATAAATTTTATTATCATTTTTGAATTCGCTTATATTATTTTAAAGTATTTTGGCAGCTTTTTCGTAATATTTAATCGCTAAATCGAGCTAATAGTTTTTTTCGTGGATATAAGCCTACTAATAGACGGGACGCGGATCTTTCATATTCCTTTTGAATACATCTTCATAGGCTAAAAGAGCTGCTTAGTAATTTTCACAAAATTAATAGCATCTAGCTAATTAAAATTATGCTTGCAAATCACCGCTAATATTTTGCAATATCTTCTTGAAATATAACTGCGCTCCTGCAAAATCACCTTCACTCATTAACTTCAACCCATTATTGAAGTATAAATTCCTTTAAACCATTATCAAATTAAAGTGTCCATCTGCCCCATTCATTCGATATTTTTTATATTGTTAGTGATACTCAACTTCTATTTGAACTATTCATATAACACTTTTTATTGTTTTGGCTTTCTTTCAAAATCAATAGATATTCTTCCTCTATCAATTTTTTCTTTCTTTCTACTTTCTTTATAATTTTATAAAGTTATTATGAATAACAGATATACCAAAGCAAGTAAATTTGCATTAAGGAAAGCATAGATAGGAGCATTAATTAAGAGACCAATTAATTAATTAATCAATAAATCAATTAATTAATTAATAAATCATAAAGCTAAATTGAAATATATTCAGAAAAAAATCAAACTATTTATCTATCTATCTATCTTTTCCATTGATTTATAGCAATTAAAAACTCAAAAAATAATAATTAATAAGTAAAAAAAACTTCAAAATTTATTGAGAGTGCAATTTTATATGACAATATATATGTTCTGAAATCTTCTTTCATTCTTTACTTAGCTCTCCAAAATTTAATGAAGTAATTAATAAATTTATTAATGTTTATTAAGCTTTTTTTATCATACAATACCTTTATCGACCAACTTAATAGATATATATAACCATTCGTTTTAATTAAAAACTTAGCCCAATCACTTATCCATTTAATTTTATTGTTTACTTAAATACACTCAAGCATATTCAAAAGTCTCTATGAAATACGAGCATTTATTTATTTATTTTTTGTATTGATTCATTTTATATTTTAGCAAATAATTAATACAACTTTTTTTCATTTCTATCTTAAACAACTAGATTTTTTTTTCAATAAGAAACTTAAATACCAAATAATTGTTTTTTTTAATTGTTCATAATTCTGCTTTTATTTGTCATAATCGTAAAGAAAAAAACTCTTTAGGCAGTATTTATCAATCCTGTCATATAGCCTCTTAAAAAATTAAGATATAAACTAAAAAGCCAAGCACAATAAGCCATATATTTATTACTTACAATTTGATCAAATTTTTTTTTAACCTCAATTACTTTATTCATAAAAAATAAAATTGTTCCTTACAGTAACAAGGTAAATTTACTTACAAATAATAATTAGCTAACTTCCTGAATTTTATTAAAATCCCAAGCAATATTTTTAATAGTAAGTTAATTTTTTTCCATAGCATTAATAAAACCAGATAATAATTACACTTACAATTATATTTGTAAAAAGTATTTAATTACTTTTTTGCAAGTTCATAAGCAATCATTTTTGTGCAATTTTTACTAATGATTGATTTAACTTTTTGTATAAATTAAAAAAATATTTAAACTTTGAATTAATGAAAATTCATACAAAGAAATTATAAACATTGAGCTCTTTTAAAAGATATATTTATTTTTTTTGAAAAATAAAATAATGTATCTTAAAATTTAAGTTAAAACAAAAAAGAAATATTTTCAAATTTAATATTTATTATTTTATTTTTAAAAATATTACAACTTAAAATAGATGAATGAATTATGATTTCAAATTAAATCCCTTACTTTTAATGTAAAAATAAATGATTTCGGAATTTAAAAGATTCAAATTTTTTAAAATCAGAATTTCCTTAATCACAAAAACTAATAAATTAATTAATTTATCCAATTATTTTACATCTATTATTTTTATATTTTAACTTACTAAAAAATTCTATTAATTACATTCTATAATTAATAATTACATATTTCCATTAAAATTATTCAGATATTTCTTATTTCATATGTGTTTAATTTTAGGTCAGCTTGAAACAAATAATTTAAAGAACACGTCTGAAAAATATCTTACTTCTTAAATGATATAAAAAAAAGGTAAGCAAAATTTTGAAATTTTTTATTCTTATTAAATTCAATCAACTCACATACTATTAAGTGTATTATAATCACACTTCTTATTTTAAATTATTAGCATTTTATTAAATAAGAACTAAAAAAAACAGAGATAACTTAACTAAATAAAAAAATGTTTTATCAATAAGCAGCATAACTATTTGAGTAATATAAAACAATTTAATACATTTATTATACAAATAACTTTAAAAGATTATTTATTTATTTATTTAGTATTGCTTGGATTTAATTTACACAATAATAAAATTATTAAATTAGATTGAAAAATTAACACTAAAACATGTCTGAAATCTTATTTCTTAAATGATATAAAAAAAAGGTAAGCACAATTTAAAAATTTTTTTATTCTTATCAAATTCAATCAACTCACATTCTATTAATTGTATTATAATCACACTTCTTATTTTAAATTATTAGGATTTTATCAAATAAGAACTAAAAAAACAAAGATAATTTCACAAAAAAATGTTCTATTAATAAGGAAAGTAACTATTTGAGTAATATAACAAAATTTAATACATTTATTTTACAAATAACTTTAAATGATTATATATTTATTTAGAATTGCTTGGATTTAATTTACACATTAATAAAATTATTAAATTAGATTGAAAAATTAACACTAAGATATAAAAGAATTTAATCTGTATATTTATTCATATCAGCTAATTTACATTCATATTCTTTTAAATATTTCTACTTAAATTAAATTTATTTTAAATAGGATTTTTGCTTAATGAAGGCTAAAAACAAAATTAAATCTAAGTGATAAAAATAAAGTTTTAAGTTTTTTAAAATAAATTAGTTTAATTTATTTTTTGTTAGATATCCCAAAAAGCAAGGTAGAAAGTAAATTTTTTAAAAATAATGAGTTTTGACAGAAATCAATTATTATTTAGTGTTACTTTCCAGTAATTTTTATTTGATTAATTCTTATTAAATATTGTAATCTAATTATTTAATTCATAAAGCTTAACTTAAATTTATCTATAACATTGCTTTTTATACAAAAATTCTATTTTTTTAGTTTATTTAAATATATCTTCAAAGTATCCTATTTTTTTACATTCTTACAATTAAGAAAATAATAATTTTTTTTCTAAATTTTTTATGATATTTAATTGGATTTTTATTAAAATCAATTACCCTTGCTTGCTTAGTAAATAATTTATGAAAATATTTTTATGACACTAAACAATTATATTTAATATTTTAATCAATAACAATAATATTTAAATATATTTATTATTCTATTTTTAATTTAAAAAATTCAAAAGTTAAAAGTTTGTGTTTTTGAGTTTATAAAAACTAAAAATAATAAATTGAATTTTAAAAAGAAAGTATTCTATATTAAATAATAAACGAAAAAATTATAACAAATTATTGATTTTAAATAAATTTGGTTTGTTAAATTCACTTTTTTATTCAATCTTTCTTATAATGTCATATTTGTTCAAAATTTTTATATAAAATTTTAAATTATAATTTCGCTAAGTAAACAAATTATATTAATTAAAAAATGGGCTAATCAATGAATGAAGAAGCAAGCTTTACTATATTAAGAATAATATTGGGAAGATTCTACCAAATATAAAAGTTTAAAGACACAATAAAAAATAATAATCAGAAATATGTTATAGTTTTATTAAGTTAGTTAGAATTTAAAATTTTCAATATTATAAATGTAAGTTTTTATTGTTTTAGATTAAATTTGTATTTTGAATTATTGATATTTATTTATTTGTTTTTTTCAAGATATAGATGTATTTAGGTCCTTAAAAGAATTAATTATAAATAGTTGCTTTATTTTAATTTAGAAAATTAATATTCTATTCTTGATAGACGCATACTTACTTACTTACTTATTTATTCATTCTTTATTTTAATAAATCTAAATTTATTTAAATTTGAAGACTCAATAATTTAGTCAGTCAATCATTAACTAACTAACTAATCCACATCTTGATTGAATCTTCAATAAAATTTAAATAAATAAATTTTTAAACACTTAACTATAATTAGCTTGTTTATTAACATTGTTTGCATGCTATTCTGAATATAAGATTAAGAATTGAATTATTACTAGATTAATAAAATATATAAGTTAGATTAAATTATTTTAGTTATTTATTTATTTAATTGCAATTTCTTTAAACAATTTTTTTTGTTCAATTATTTTACCAAGCTTTTTATAGTTAAAAGGAATAAATAAATATTTTTAGAAATTAATTTTAAATATTTATTTTTAATCATTTATATATTTTCATCAAAATTTTGTTTTAGTGTCTTTTTTTAATTATTATGAGAAAGAATATCTTCCTAAAAGATTTGCTATTGATAGATAGATAGAGAAAATTTAGATAGAATCAACAAATCAGTCTACGCTCACATTGTTGCTACTTTAATTTTATTATTCTTTTTGCTTTGCTTCATTTGCTATCTATTTCAATTTTTCTTTTTTCTTTTCCTTCTTTTCTTTCTTCTAGTCAGCTTATTTCTTTAATTTAATTTAATAATATAATTTAACTTACCAATTTATAAATTTATTAATAAATCAGTTTTACATTTTAATAAACATAAAAAAATTTGTATAAAATAAATTTACCTGTTAAGGATTTAAAGCAGCTGCGTGTGGGTATAAGCTTAATTCTGGAGGATATTCTCTGAAGGAGTGTTGCATCATTTAATGGTTTAACATTTATAGAAATAGAGGGTTACTTTACATTGAAGGGGGAGGAAAAGGGATTGGACCAGGTGGAGAGCTTGGCTATTAAGAACCAGAGACTGCTGCTGCTGCTGAAGAATTTTATAATAAATGAGGATAAAATTAGCTTAATTGAGCTTCTGTTAAAGGGTGAGTGGGAGGAGGGAAGTAAAGAGGAGGCATGATATCAGCTCCAAATGGTGGATACAAATGAGGATTTCCTTATCCTAACAAAGGGACTAAGTTTTAAAATGCTGTAGCGTTTTAAAGATTCAACAAATCTGATTTTATGTTTAATTTTTCAGCAGAATTAATTTAATTTTAGCGCTTTGAGCTATCTTTGTTTGCATTTTTATTCTTCTCTTTTTCCTAATTCTTTTTTTGCTTTTTTGATGAACCATTAACAGTTTCTTACTTGTTTGCAGATACTTCCAAAACACAGTCAGATGAAGAAGAAGAAATCGCATGAGATTATTTTCTTTGTTGCCCATTAATATTATTATCCCCTTCTTATTCTATTTCTAATTCACCATTTTCATTTAAATTTTGCACGTTATCCAATTAACTAACTTCCTTTTACTTTATTTCCCCCTCTGTTCCTGCTATTTATTCCTTATTATTTTGAACTTCTTCTTATTATTCGCTTTCGTGGTTAAGCTTTTCTTTATTATCTCCTTCTTTTAAATTGTTTTCTAATTTATTTTACTATACTTCTTAACTTTTTTATTACTCTTGTTCTTAGCCCTCTTCTTCAATAGCTTCTCCATGTTTGCTATTTTCATTTTCGTTCTTTTTGTCAACTTAATTCAAGTTATCTTCTTCACTATTAGCTATATTTTCGTTCACGTCATCTTCTACGCTCTATTCGTTTTAATTTTCATCTAAGTGATCAATTTTATCTCCATTTGTTTCATTTTAATTCTAATTGCTATTTATTTAATCTGTTGATTATTTTAGTTATTTTTTTGGCTAGCTAGATTATTCGTCTAGCTCTTAACCACTTCTCTTCCTTCCTCCTTCTGCTGACGAGGCAAAATCATTTAGCATCTTTTGCATCTTTTGCATTGCTGATTAGATTGGTGTGGTATTCTAGTTATGCAAATACTGTGGATATCTACAAGATGCCTCTATTTGCTTGTCAATAACTTAAAATATACTGCCCTTCTAAGATATCTAATTGATATATTCTTACAAAAGCCTTTCAGCTTGTTGGGATCTTTCAGCTGGATTAGTTGACTACTATTCGTTTGCTTCATTTTACATTTAAGCCAAACTTTTCTACTCCTCTTGCTGAAACTCTTCCTCATTATTTTCTTGCTATTAATCTCTTTCAAAATTATCTTTATTAGTCATTTTGCCGCCAGATTTAAAAGAATCAAAAGGAGGCATTTCTTCGAAAATTGAATTTTTAAAGTAGGGAATCATAGGGTGAGGGAAGCCATATGGGTAGGGAGGAATATAACTTGGGAATAAATTTAAATTATTCTAAATTCTACTTTATTCTTAGCTTTATTCGCTTTAATCTTCATCATCCTCTTCTTCTACTTCTTCTTCTTCTTATTCAGCTTTTACAAGTATTTCTTCTTAAGATTTTTCTTCGCTGGCTGGTTCAGTAGGTTATTTGTTGGGATCTGCTAGTGTGTCCTATTCGTTCTAAATTTTATCTTTTAAATTTGTTTAAGATGAATCCATCACGCTTATTTAATGAATAATAAAAGGTATTTCGCTCTTTTTCCTTTTTATAATAAATAATATCCTTTGACAATATTCTCGATATAAAATAATTATATCAAGAAATTGATAAATTAAATAAAATAAGAGGAAAAATCAAATATATTCATTGTCAAACTTAAAATTCCTTTCACTAAAAGCAATAAGTAATGTCATACAATATATTATTTATTTATTTAATCATTCACCCTAAACATAAAAAATTTGAAAGGTCGCACAATTTTTAAAAATAAAACACACAACAAGATACCGAAACTGATCTAAGCAAGTAAATTTATGCATGAATATACATGCATACATATTTGACTAATATTTTTATTTCCCAAAAAAAATTATGGATTGAAAATCATTTCTTCAAACTTTCTTTACTAAAAGAAGAGAAGTGATTTAAAAATCAAAAAAACATAAAAAACAACAAAAAAGAGGAAAAATCAAAATTTTATTTAATCACATATATAAGCTCAAAGCAATATAAATAAATTTTTCAGTTTTCCAAAAAAACAACATAACATGAATTTCTATCAAAAAACCTCTTTTCTAAGCTTATATAAATAAATTTATTTAATCTACATTTTATTCAATCATTTAAAAAGAAAAATTCTATTTTTAGAAATTAAGTTATTTAGTAACTTGTCTTATTTTTAGCTTACGAAAACAATAAAACTGCTCTCTCGCTTAGTTCTATAAAAATATTGAAAAAGACAAATTTTGTGTTGAAATGATTATTTTTAAATACATAATTATATTTTTAAACTAAATTTAATCTATTTAATATTCATCAGCTAAACATATAAGAAGGCAAATATTCATTACAAAGATATATATATCTATCTACTTATCAATTTAATTATTTAATTATTTATTTATTAAAATATGTGTTTATCAATGATTTCAAAAGAATACATTTTTGTTTTCATAAATTTTATATTACTATTTAAATGGAGGAAAGGTTATTATAATTATTTTTCTAATTAAAATGTAGATTTATTTACTTTTCTTGGAGTTTTAAAAGTTTTAAACTCTAAATTTTATAGAATTTTTGTTAAAAATCTATTTAATTAAGATTATTACTTAAAATGATCATAAAATTAGAAAAATATTACTTAGATGAAATATATTCTTAAATCTATACATTCTAAAAAAGTATATTTTATAAAATAGACATTTTAAATAATAAATTTTACAAAAGAACCAAAAAATAATCTAGCTTTCTTAACATAATTTTAAATGAATAGATTAAATCTAATTTTATTTATTTCAAAAATACTATAAATTCATTTTTTAATTTATTAAAAATACAAAACATTTATTTTTTTAAAATTGATAATTTTATAATTAAATTAGTAATGAACAAATCGGTGGCACAATATATTTATATATTATAATATTTTAAAATATTAATATAAAATACGGTGCCAGCCATTAATTTTGTCACTTTTATATTTTAGTTTGATTTATTATTACAAATTTTTAGGCGACAAAATAAATGGTGGACACTGTATTGTATTTTTAAAAATATTTGTAGATTTAATATTTATATTATTTTATATGTTTAAAAAATTTTTAAATATTATTATATACTACTAATATATTCCAATAAATTAAATATACTAAAATATATTAGTATATAGTGCCACATATTTGTTCATTACCATTAAATTAGATGAGCAAGAAAGAATTTTTTAATAATTATAATATCTAATAACTATTAATATTATTTTTTTTGGAATATTATGCAATATATTTTGATTTTAAAAAAAAATATTTTAGATTTTATTTAAAAATTACTTACATAAGAATTAATTTAAGTTATTATCAATTTTTAAGATACATATGAAATTATTTTAAAAGTAAATTTATTCTTATTAATTATATTTAAATTTATATAACCAACTAATTAATTATCTTTAAATAATTATTTTATATTGATTTTAAATAAACTTATGAAATTTAATTTTTAAGAAGAAAATATTATTTCTTAACGTTAAAATCTTTTACTAAATAAATATTATTTTATTATAATTTAAGTACTTTAATTAAACACTATAATTTTTTCAACATATGACTGATAGCCCATCTCTAATTCTTACTATATTTTTAAGTATAAGTTTTAAAAATAAACATTAAGATTTAATAATAAATCTTACACATAATAATTAATTTTAATTTATCCTAAAAAGTAAGAAAGAAAAAGGCTTAATTTTTAAAAATTATTTATAAATTTTAACATTCTGTAATTATAATAAGAAATAACTCAAAAAAATGTATCAATTTTAGATAATAACTTTTGTTTTTGTTAATTAATTATTAGTAACCAATAAATATATCTCCACTTTAAAAAATAATCATTTTTAACATTTTTTTAATTAACATAACAATCTCTGATTGCTAAAAATATTAATCAGCTTTAATTGGTAATTCTTTTAATAATTAAAGTATTATTAGGATTTAGATTTATAAACTTTAAAGATAGAGATTCATTTTTCTTTTTACATCTTAACTATTGAATTAAGAATAAATCGAGAACAATTTATGGCTAATACAAGAGCACAAATCATCAATCAATTATTATTTTTTAATCAAAATGCATTAATTAATTAGGATAATTTTTAGATTTAAAAACATCAAAAATCATAAAAGGAGTTCAAAATAAATGTAAAGAAAAAACTAGGCTGTTTTAATTCTTTTCACACAAGATTTTAAATACTGCTTATTTAAAAAGAATGATCCTTCAAAATATGGTTTTATCCATGATTTTTGTGATGAATTTAATGACAATTACTGTCCATATTTAACGATTGCTCGTCATATAATCACAAAAATTAATCATCACTTATCATTTTAATCGTTGTTTATGCCTATAACTTCTCAAATTGAAGACCCTTATTTTAGATCAAGAGATCATTTTTCCTTGAATTAAAACTACAATGAGTGGCTGCATTATATTACAGAAGCATTTTAGTACGATGGATATTCAGAAGATATTCAAATTTATCTATAATAAATTGGTGACGAGGAGCAATTTGTGAAAAATATGCGTTAACTAGAAATTGAATGTTTACTTTTAAGTCAATAACAAATACTTGATATTTATTCTAATTAAATAGACACTTTAACTCATTCAATTCTGAATAAAGCTGATCTAAAAATAATTATTGAATCATAGATTTAGCTAAAGGCGTCTCCACCAACTCGAGAAAATACTTATATCCTTATCCTTCACAACAGAGTAGATTTCTTAAAAAAAGTATAAATGGGTTATGTTCCTATGCCAACAAAGACCTTCTTCTATGGGATTTACAAAAAAGACTATTAAAAATGGTTTACCTATAATATAGCATAAGGAGAGATCCCACAAGATAATATCCTTAAAAATGTTCAAGCTATAATCATGCCAGGAAGTGCATCAAATGCGTATGCACAAGAAGAGTGGATCAGCACTTATAAAAATTGGATTAAAATGGTTTATGAAACATATAAAAACATCAAGATATTAGGTATTTGCTTTGGGGAATAAATTCTTGCTCATACTTTAAATGGCAAATGTGATATTGTCAAAGAAAAGAAAACAGATAAAAATTTCTTTAATTCGGGTACTCACACATTACACTTAGGAGATAAGTTTTTTGAATTTCCTTTTATAAAATAGCTGAATTTCAGATAAAAAAATATTTAAATAACTAAACTTCATGGTGATATAGTAGTAAAATTGGATCAAAACTTATTTGAAATTATGGGAAGCTCCGATAATTATGAAATAGAAGTTTATACAGATAAATTATCTGACTCAAACTAAAATCCTAAAATTTTATGTTTTCAAGGTCATCCAGAATACTCTAATTATTGGTTAGCGATGAGAGATATGCAGCATTATTCTTATTATAATAAAATATCATGTGAAGAAGCCATTAAGCTTTCACATCACCCATAATATAAAGAAGACGACAACTTTATTTTAAGATAGATTTGTTAGGCATTTTTAACTCTAGTTTGATCCAAATTTATTTAAAGATTTAGTTACAAAAAAAGTAAATGAAAAAATAATAAAATTAAAATTTAATTTTTTAAATGTTATTGAATTTATATTAATTTTAAGTTAAAAAATAATAAAATTAATTAAAATGAGTTCAAATTATAAAATTTATTTCTGATAAAAATAATATTTCTAACTAAAAAGATGAAAAACATTCATTTTTGAATTCTTTCTGATAAAATAATATTTAAAAATCTTTGTTTATTCCAAAAATAAATTTTACATTTATTTATATACTTTCAAACGATATTTTGTAGATTTTAATTCAAAAAAAAGAGTTAAATGTAACAAAAATGTATAATTAATTTTATTTTATTGTATAAACTTATTTTTAAATGTTGAAACTAAATTTATCTAATTACTGAGAAACCAATCACTAAAAATAAAAATGATTACAATAAGAAATATTAATAAATTTAATTACTGAAATTATATAAAGTAAATCAATAGTTTATTGGTCTTTAGATAATATAAAATTTAATTAAATTAAAAATTTATTTAATTAAAAAAAATTCGAAAATTCTTTTTAAGTAAATAATTAAGGGAGGAGCAAATACTATTCTAAGCTGATTTTATATGCTTTCCATTTTATTTATATTTGTTATAAAAATGTAAATCCCATACCTTACTTTAATTTTTTATGAATATATTTTAAATACAGGAACTCATATTTAATTAATTATGGTGAAATCACTAAAAGAATATAAAGATTACTAGCTTTATAATAAAAAATATTGATTATAAAAATATCTACCTAGATTAAAAAATATAAAAAACAATCTATTGATCCTACCATAATATAAATTTTAATAAAAATATTTATTTTTTGTAAATGATTGAGGATTTTGTTTTTGAAGATTGATAAAAATATTTTACTATGAAACATAATGATAAAACTCTTCTAAATAATATGCTAAGTTATTAAAAAATTTTGAAAAAATTTTTAGTTAATAATTGATGGAAGAGTTAACCAGTATTATTCTAGTTTGTTAATTGTAAGATAGATAATACAAGTTTTAATGTAAATATTTATTTTATATCAGTGACTAAGTGTTTTTTGATGGAGGATATTAAGATTTTAGAATGAAACTTAAAAATAAATTCTACATAATAAATATTCTAAATAATAAAAAGGTTTGAAATTCTGAGTTAATATTTGAGAGAGGAGCGAGTTTTATTCTAAGGCGATTTTAAATATTTTCCATTTTATAGCCATAAAATAGATTGTTTTTTAATTTAAAATAGATAGATAGTGGTGTGTAAAATATTAATAATAAAGTTATCAGATGATTGATTCAAGTAATTTAATACTACAAAAATGAATTCTACTTGCAAAATATTGTTTTGCCTTGTTTTATACAAATAATTTCTAGCTGATTTTAGAGAGTATTTAAATTATTATAAAAAATGAGAAAAATTCTTAGAAAAATAAGCAATAAATCATACATCACATTTGATCATTTTTAAACTAAAAGTGCGTACTAGAAATTTATTAATACTGAGTCAGCTTAACTTTTTGTTTAAGCTTTCAAAAGATAATTAAAACTGCATCATTATCTCAAAATTTTTTAAAAAAATTAAAAAGCTTAATGCATTATTGAGGTAATATGACACTTATTTAAAGGTACCTCTTGCTTGCTTAGTATTGATTATTAACTTGGACATATCTTGAATATTTAATTAAGATCAAACTCGATTATTTTTGAATTAAATATAAAGAGGGTATATTTAGATAGGTTAATATTATCAATCCTAAAACAAATCAAAAATAGATAGAATTAAGATAAATACATGTCTTTCTTTTCAAAGTTAAATTCTACTCTTTTTCTAACTATTATTAGAACATCAAAATTCAGATGGGTTTTCATATAAATACTGCACATTCACTATTTCAAAAACTTTAGTCTTATATTTATAAGCAAAGAAAGCTGGTAGCATTCATCATTTTATTTTGTTGAGATACTGTTAACTAAGAAATTATTTGTTTATTTATTTAATTGGTGGGTGTTAGAATAATAAAAACGATGCTAGCCTATAAAAAAATAACAAATATCAAATAGTTTATTTAAATATTTGCTTTTCTCACTAATTGAGAAAGAAATATCTTGACACTTTAATTTAAATTAACCTAAAGTATGTAGTGTAAAAGATATAACAAATGTATTGAAAATAGAAAATTGATTGTGACTGAAAAAGTTGGCAAATTATTTGTTAATTAATTTGTTTTTTTATTTGTTAATTTATTTTATAGATAGTTGAAAAATTCAAAATCGAATAGAAATATTTTCAATTTTAGTTAAGTGTTCTTTTCTGATTAATTAAATTGAATTAGACAAATTAGATTATCGCTAAATAATGCATAACTGAATTGCAATGGAAATACAGTGATAAATTTTCAATCTTTCTTGATTGCATTAAGGAGAATGGAGGGTACTACTCAGATACTATTTTAGTTAATAAAAAACTTATTTTAGGTGTAATTTATTTTTAAGTCTGTAATTTGCAATAGGGAGAGGAAAATTATAAATTTGTGAAAAAAAGAAGAATTAATTACTTATTTTAGAACAAAAAATTTAATTTGAAAAAGTGACAAAAGCTAACAAACCATCTCCAAAACAAAAGTAAATGAGATAAAAAATTTAACTAGTTTTTTCATACTAGATAGGGTATTGAATTGCTATTCTAAATATAAACCTGCTTATTTGCAATAATTACATAATGAAGACTATAATTAAAAAGGTGATCAATCTATAAAATAGTAATATGTGTACTTGTTAGTATGCATGCAGTAGGGTAAAGAAAGGATATCTTATTAAATTATATTCGGTGATATTATTATTATTATTAAAAAAAGATTGACCTATCAATTACACAATTATGCAAAGAGCTTATTTATATTAAATAGTGACTCAATTCGATAATTATTTAATGATCAAAAAAATATCAAAATCAAAAACTAAAAATTCAAAGCATTAACAAACAAGCAAACAATCAATCAAATTAAATTAAGCAAAGAAAAAAATCTTTTTAAAATAAATATAAATGGACTCCGCTACTTAAAACTAACACCAAATTGAATAAAGCGCCAAGCAAATCGAAGGAACTTTTGATAAAGTAAAATCATCTTTAAACACCTGCAACCAAGATGACATCCACCCCATTTAAAATATCCTCTCTGCTGAGTTGAAGAGCGGAACTGATGGTCGTGGCAAAAAAGCAAATATTTCTTCAGATATTCTTTCAAACATCATTTCTGGCACTTAAGCTGAGAATCAAGTAGAAAGCTCTACTTCTACTTCAAGAAAATTGACTTGCAATAGATAGTTATTCTTGTGTTCTCCTGATTTCTTATAATTAAAGTATGTTATCAATCCTTGGATGGATCTTTCTGCTTAATTCTCAGTAGAAAAGGCTAAATAATAATGGGAAGAACTTGTCAATACCTACAAGAGACTCGTCCCTGAATCAGTTCACACTGTACCTCCCAGAGAGAATTTAACTGAATTATGTTTCTTTGGTGACTCTGTCTTCGCTATTAATAAAAAGGCTGTCTTCGGTAGATTCGCAACTAATGAGCGTTTCCCCGAAACTGAATATGTCATTGAATACTTGCGCTCTTAAGGTTTCTAAGGTGAAAGAGTTCCTGAAGGAATGCACTATGAAGGTTCAGGTGAAACCATGGTTTGGAATGGTAAAATCCTTGTAGGATACGGCAAAAGAAACACCAAGGAAATTGTTTCTTATTTACAAACAGTTTACAGTGACATGGAAGTAATTGGATTTTAACTTATCGATCCCGAATTCTATCACTTAGATACTGCTATGTTCCCTATCAGTGAAAACTTGATTGCTGTTTATGAAAACGCCTTCTCAGAAGAAGCAAAGCAATAAATTAAAAAGCTTGGTTGTGAAATCATCTACCTTACCTACAAGGATGCTAAGGAATTCGCCTGTAACTCAACTGTTATCGGCAAGCACGCTATTGTTCATTATGAAGCAGAAAACTTTATTAATTAACTCAAATAAAGAGGCTTCTAAGTTCACACTGTTGACGTATCTGAATTCATAAAGTTTGGTGGTGGTCTCAAGTGCTTGACTTTCTAACACTACTTGCTTTGAGATTGCTTTGAAAAAAACAATTAAAACTCTTTATTTCAAATGAATATTAAATTTTACAGTCACTGGTTAAATTTAATAAAAACATGAGATGAGATAGTTCTTTTGACTCTAAACTAGTAAAACAATAACCAAAAAATAAATAACATATTTATAATAAACAAGATAAAAAGAGCATTTTATCTCAAATAATTTAAATTAAATGAATATAAATTTTTAATGTACAAATATAATTCTATCACAAAAATTGAGATCATAACATGTTTAAAAGCTAAACTTGTTTGATCTTAACCTCTTTTATGTATATTTTTGTCAAATTATTTAGATATTTTATACCTCATATCATAGGTCTAATCAAAAAAACTATATCATTTATGTCAATAAAAACTAACAATTTTCTAAATAATCTCCTATTCCTATGCCAAATGTATTTCTCTAATTACTTTTAAATTACTCTAAACAAAACTTTTTGCTTAATTTTCATAAATGTTTCATTAAATACTTATATAAATGCTAATCAATTGTAGTTGAATGCTTATGATTTTTTTGTCTTTTTCTTGCTACTTTTGACGTATTTTTAATTTCAATAATAATTTTCTTAGTCTTTTCGAATTTTTAGTCTTTCTTTATTTAATTGTAAAATGAATAGATAAATGGATATTTAAATGGTTTTATCTTTTTATGAGATGAACTATACTTGAATTTAACAAGTAAATTGTATTTTGTTGGCATTAAATCAGTATTAGATGTATTTATTGTCCATTCAATTTCATAAATTTTTTCTACTTAATTAGCCATCTAAAGTTTCTCAAAGGCAGAACAGCTTTTTCAAATTCTTTTAAAGGTTAATAGTGGTTACAAGGAAATATAATTTATTTTCTTCGAAATGATTTTGATGTGAATATATTAGCATTTTTTGTAATATTGTTGTTTATTAGCATCAAAGACTTCTTCCTATAATGACATTATTTATATATAATAATAAGTGTGGAATACAGAGAAGCAAATACTTTTTAATGTCACTCAATAAAAAATTTATTTACAAAAGACAATTAAAACAAACATTGACAAAATGATGATATAAGTATCTATTTAAATAGAAAATAGTGCATTAAAATTGTATTAATACTAATAAATATCGCTCGTGTTATGTTTTTTACAAGATTTGCATGAAATATTATTTTAATCACTAAATAGAGCGAAATATCTATTTAGGATAAAAATATATCAAGCATGAATTTGAAAGCTAAAAATTATAATAGAATAGTGAAACTAAAATATTCATTCGCTATTTTTCAATTATTCTCTCGCTTGAATTTGGGAAATGATTGTTTTGAGTAGGGAAGTTGTGTTTATTATTAGCTTGACAAAAAAAGGATTAAAGTTAATCTAAAAAATGCAGTTTTCAAACTATTGTTAATTATCTATTTCAACTTAAGTAGAAAAATTAATTTTTTAGACAATTAGATGAATTTTGATGAGCATTAAATGAAAAATAAACTTTGAAAAACAATTGTTTGCTATTTTTTACAGGTTTTTATTGTTGAGAATTTATTTTATTCTAAATTCTCTAGCTCACATACAAATTTATCTATTTTCTCTTGGATTGGGTTTATTCTATAACAATAATATATCATAACAAATTTAGGAGTAAAATTTCTCACCTGAATAATTTCCATATAAATCAATGTTGTATTTACTCTTAAAGAATGAATTTCACACTAAAATTGATAGAAATAATTTGGAATTGAGCAGGAAAATACCATTAAAGTAAAAAAGTAAATTTTAATAAAAGAAAATAAACTTTTAAGGTTAATATTATTACACTTTTAATTATCTGCTATTTATCAAACAATAAATAAATTAATTGTGGTAACATCATTAATTATAAGAATATTTCCAGAAAAAACTCTAAAATTAATGTAAGAATTTAAATTGTAAATATATTTTTACACAAAATTTTATAAATAATTTTGTTATAATATTATATATAGATTATCAATAATTTCTTTTAAAACATTTCGGTTTTATAATTGTTCATACTCCAAATATTAATAGTCTTTAATTATTATTTGGTAGAATCTAAAAAGCTTTTAACGATAATTGATGCGTTTTTTAATTTATGATGATGTATGCTTATTGATTAAATATTGAAATAATTACATATTATATTCAATTTCTAAATGATTAATGATTGATTTTTTTATTTTATTAGTTATTTAATATAAATCACCGAATAATATGCCAATTTTAATATTATTTATTCTAATATATTTTAGCGTGAAATTCAAATGAAATAACTCTATTTATCATAAGAATATTAAAAGTTATTTTATTTAAATTTTTAAATGAAATTTCAGTTTGATCAAAATAATCTTCTCTAAATATTTTTAGAAAATATTATGTTTTATTTCATAATTAAAAAAACTAAAATAAAAAATGAATTTGTTTTATTTATTTAATTTAAATCTACTTTATTTAACATGAAATAGTATTGAGTAATAAATAATACAAAAAAAATATTTAATCTATTAAATTAGTCATTTGTTCTTATGAATTTTTAAAATTAAATAAAATTTAAGCTTAAAATAAATATTCTATTCTCAACATATTTGTAAAAATAATCTATTTTATTTTATATTTTAATAAATTTTAAATGAAAATTTATTTGTAAATAATAAATTAAAATTTATTTTAATCAACCTAAATATATTGATTGATAAGACTAAAACATTATTACATCTATTAAGTTATTAATTTTATCTTCTATTAAATTTTAAATATTAAATAATAATACATTATATTTAAAATAAAATTAAAATTACCAAAATTTTTATATTCAGATTATCATTACTTTTTTTATTAATTTTAGAGTTTTAAAATAAATTGCTAATATTTTATAAATCAAATCTATCTTTTATAATTATTTTGAATCAAAATAAACCATTAATCTTCAAAATATGTATTAGATGTAAACTTTGGTATGATATTATTGATTTAAAGTAGATAACACATTTTATATATCGTAAAAGCTTATTTTACTTTATTATTATGAAATTTTTATCTCTTTATTAAATGATATAATAAAAAATAATAAATATTTACAGTTTTAAAATTTAATTTAATTATTAGCTGAAAAATTACAATAAATATTTTCAAAATTAACAATAAATTAAACAAAAATAATAATAAATACATTTATATCATTTACAAATAAAAAAATAATTAGTATTTTCAAATTATTAAGAAAACTAAGCAAATAAAAATGCTTGAAATCAAACTCAAACTATTATTTGTATCTATTCCATCAAAATTAGGTTTTATTTAATCACCTGATTCATCTATATTTTAATCAGTATCGCTAGGTTTGTAAATATTTACTCCATTACTATCTATTACAGCATCAGTTGTTTCTTATAGCAATCTATTTATATTTAGATATTCATCTTCGAAAGTAAGAAATCTCTGAGTTTTACTCTCAAGATCTTTGTTACCCTAAAGAATATTTTCGCAATGCGAATTATCACCATATACATGATCACTCCTACATGTTTTACGATGTTCACTATCTTCGCTATGAATTTTATGATTTTTAAAAATAGATTTTATATTTTTAACAACAACATCCCCACATGTGTGATCAGTTTATATATAAAAGCTATTTAATTCTTTAACCATTAATTCAATATTGGCTTAATTAAAAATTTATTCATGACATTGAATAGCCTCTTGAGTATTCTTTTCAAATGTCTATGATGAAGTAGGAGATATTTTTAATTACTTATTATTATTGAAGTAATCTTCCAATTGATCAACTCCAGCACACATTGTACATAAAACACCTCTAGTGAAAGATGAAATGCTCTTTGCAAAATTTACTTTGCAATCAGCTTATTTTTATTTATTTTCTTATAAAATCTTTAAATTTTCATTAGACAAAATATTTTCATCATTGATATTTTTATGGCAATTTTCATTTATTTAAGCTTTGTAAATATTTATAAATTTTTAGAAAGCACTTTTAGCTTATTAAAGAGGCTTGACTTTTAAAAAAGCAGCTTAGTCAATCAATTTAACCATATTGATATTGCAGCAAGAATTTTCTCCAGCGTATTCAGAGCAAACTCCAAGATCATCTTCAGATTTAATCGAAGGTTTCGAGTTTAAAAATTATTTTTATAGAGCATCATTTAGTTGCTTTGCTTAGGTATCTTTATAAAGTTCATGATAAAGAATTTTTGTTAGAATAATCCTTGTTTTATAAAAAGTAGCATGATAGCTACAAGATGGCTTTAATTTCTTTGATTTGACTAAAACTGCAGATAAATAAATGCAGAGAGCTAATAAAACTAACTTGATTTTCATTACTATTTCTAATTTTTAAAATCTTTTAATAATTAATTAATTAATTTTTTTATTAATTTATTTCATTTTTAATTTCTCCTCATTTGTATTTATTAAATTCAAAAAAAATCCAATCTCTATTGAAAGCACCCTTTTAATAGAATCCATACATTATTTATACAAAAGTCTCTGAATAATTTGAAAAAGACAAGAAGAATATATAAAACCTTAGAGATAAAATTTATTAGAAAAGTAAAGTCTATAGTTTAAATTATTTAGTGTAAATTACATATTTTATTTGTAATGCCTTACAATAATCTGGTTGATATAATAAAGTAGCATCTTTCTATTGGAAAAATTTAGTAATTATTTCAATTTAAAAAATAATTTCTCATCTAAGAAGAAATCTTTTTCTAAAAAATAGTTTCTCATTTAATTAATATTTTTGTAAAAAACAATTGGCTTGAGATAAAAAAATTGAAGATATTTGAATATTATTTTAAATTGATAATAGAAGATCTATAAATTTGGTTGTCTTTCATTAATTTATTTATAATTTTGTCAAAGCAGTATTTGTATTTTGATGATAAATACCAATAAAAAATTTCAAAAATTAATTTCAATATTATTTATTACTTTTATGAAATTTTACATTAATTAGTCTACAAAAAAATTTACAAAGTCTATGGATGATTTTTTTTAAAGCTTGGAATAAATTGCATAAAAAATATTTTAAAAACTAAAATTTCTTTTATTCCGTTTTCAGTTGAAGGTAGGTAAGATAATATTATTTTAAAATGTTAGCTCTTAATATTCAAAACAAGTTAAATATTTTATTTTCAAGAATAGCAACTCTTGTCATATGATTTGCTAAATAAATTATGGATAAAAATTAAGATTAACAACTTTATTATTTCTGATTGAAAATTTTTAAAAAATTTTGGTTTGGTAATACTTTTTTATTGATTCATCCATCATATTCATCTATTAAAAGGAAAAACTCAAATTAAATTTTTTCTAAAAAGTCAAAATAATAGTTTTACTCTAATTTAATAACCTCTAATTTTATTCTTTAAGGAATGGTATTTGAAAGCAAATAATACTATTTAAAATGTAAATTTTACAATAATAAGGAATTTATAAATAATTCATTAAATTATTTATTAATGCTTTATATGAAACTTTTAGCCAAATATAAAGAACTAACTTAAGCAAATTTAGATAATTAATTTAATCTATCCTTTCATATAGCTAATTAAAATTTAGGCATATTTTTTTACCTTAGCCATGTATAATTTAATAAGTATAAAGTTATCTTTTACTCTTTATCTTTTTTATAAATTATACTCTAAAATTTATATAATTGAAATCCGTTATTTATAAAATAATGAGGGTAAAACTGTACATTTATGAAAATTACTGATGCACTCACATGAGAATTCAACCAATTTTTGATGATTTATCCAAATTTTTATTATATTTTATATTAGTTGTGCCGATGAACTCAAATGAGCAATTGATCAAATTTTGATAGAGCGATTAAAAAAAAATTTTATTTATTTTTATTCAATAATAAATAAACCATTTAATTAAGTAGAATATAATCAAATATACTTTTTTGAAATTCTATTCTCAATATATTTATTTTTATTTTATTTTAACAAAAATAATATTTGCTTTTACTATTTGAGACAATTTTAATGAAATTGCTTTCTTATATTTTTAAAAATAATAAATACATTTTCATCCCTTAAACTTAAAATTTATTTTATTAAAATTAATCTTTATAATATTAGATTTATATATTTCAAAAATTTTCATAATTATTTACTTCATAAATTTATATATTATCCTAACTAAAATTTATAATTCAATATTATGCACATAAATTAATAAAAACAAATAATTTTTAAAATAATTTTGTGAAACTGTTTCAATTTTTAAACTAATATGATCTTTATAGATACCTTAATATAAAAGTCTTATTTGTGAATACAGACAACAGTGTATAAATTATTCTTTAAATATAAGTTTTTATTATTTTCTAAGAATATTTTTTTGATAACATTTTTGAAAATTTAAAATTATTTTTGCAAAAGTAAGTTTCAAAATATTGAAATGTGTGTAATTAATATATTTTTTATAGATAATTTACAAAATAATATTTTTTATTCATATCAATAAAAACAATAACCAAACTAAAATGCCAGCAATCAAACTTATGCTACTATTAGTTTTTATTCCTTCAAAATTAGGTGAAATAGCATTACCTGATTCATCTATTTGATCATCAGTTGAGCTTGTAGTGTAAATACTGATTCCACTTTGATCAATAACAGCATCAGGTGTTGCTTCAAGCAATCTGTTGATATTTTCGTCATCAAAATTAAGGAATCTACCGCTTTTTTATTCTAGAGTTGGGTCACCCTAAAGAGTATTTTCGCAAGCAGAGTTATCGCCAAAAACAATAACGCCTTTGCATATTTTACCACCTTTACCATCATCATTAGTAACTTTATGGTTAGCAAAGATAGATTTCATTTTTGAAACAACAGAATCTCCACATTTATCGCCATCTTTAATATAAGCACTATTTAGTTCGTTGACCATCTATTCAATACTCGTTTAACTAAAAAGCTATGCATGACAATTAATAGCTTCATCTGTTGCCTTTTAAAATACATTTACTGAGTCTTGAGATATTTTTAGTTGTCCTTGAGCATTGAAGTAATCACTTAATTTATCAACCCCAGCACAAATTGAGCAAAAAGCACCTCTAGTGAAAGATGAAATAGCTTTTCCAAAATTTATCTTACACGAAGCTTAAGTTGCTCTATTTACCTAAAAAATCTTTAAATTTTTATTGATAATTATATTTTCATGTGTGATAGCTGGAGAGGGAACTGCAGTTGCAGGGCAGTTTTTATATAATTGAGTTATATAAATACGTATGAATTTCTAGAAAACACTTTTAGCTTATTAAATAGGCTTGACTTTTAGTAAAGCAGCTTAGTCAATTAGCTTAGCCATATTGATATTGCAACATGAGTTTTATCCTGCATATTAAGAACAAACACCTAGATCATTAGCTGATCTCTTAGAGGGTTTAGCATTTTAAAATTACTTTTAAAGAGCCTCATTTTTCTGCTTTCCTTTAGCATCAGAAATAAGAGCATTTGTAAGAACACTCCTTGCTTTATTAAAAGCAGTATGAGAACTACAAGCTGTGTCAGATTTCTTTGATTCAGCTAGAACTATTGTAGTAGAAATATAGCAAGTTAACAGAATTAATTTTAAATTCATTTTTATAGATATTAATTCCTTTTTTAATTGTTTATTTTTAATTATATTATTAAATTTTAAGTTTAATATTCTTATGTCTTTATAAATTTCAATCATTTAGTATTAGCTTAAAGTTAGCTTTTAACAGAGATTTTTGATTCATATGAAAATATTTGAAATTAACCTTAAAAGTATATAGAATTTAGATATAAAATTAATTATATAAGGAAAGTCTATAGCCTAATTATTTTGAGTAAAATTGATTTTTCTATCACAATATTTGCAGCATTATAAAAGAAAAAGTTAAATTTTATATATAAAAATAAAAAAATTTTTGGGAATACATTAAAGTTTTGAAAAAGAATGTTGAATTTAAAAAACTTATGTAAAAAATAAAAGAAAAATATGTAAAGTCGAAGATAATTGAAAACCATTTTGATATTAGATCATTTCAGTATTTTTTGTTATATCCTCCATTGATTTTTTTACTATCTAATCGATGTCAAAAAGTATGTTTTTGTTTAAATTTTAAATTCAGTAATAAATTATCAGAAATTAAATTCAGAATAGTTTTTTACTTTTTTTGATATTAAAATAATTCAAAGCTTATTGGTCTACAAATTAGAGTATGATTTTATAATTCAATTTTGATAAATTTTGTTCAAATAAGATTTAAAAATTATAATATCTTTTAATGATAAATCATTAAAAATACAATCGAAAAAATAGTTTTTAAATTGTAACGAATTATTATCAAGATTAAGTTTAATTTTATTTTCATTTATTTGTAGTCCTTAAAAAGAAATACAGAATTTTAGATAAAAACTAATTATTCAGCTGTTTGTTATCTTTTGAAAGTTAGAAAGTTTACTTTAGTTTAGATAAAATCTTCTCCAAAAAAAAATGTAAACATCACATAATGAAAAAAAAAGTCTTAATAAATCTCCAAAATTGTTACAATTCTCTTTGTTTTTTGTTTGTAGCTTTTATCCCC